GTTAAATCCCGTAATAACTGGCTCATTGACGAAGTAATCGAAACGAACCGCGCAGCCATACACTAGGTCCAACTGCAGTCACCCGATTTTCCATTAGCCCGCGACCATAGTTTCCACTTATCCCGATTCAACCGGAATTAATTCCACGACCCGTAGCTCGCGTCTTATCCGTGGGCACCGCCCCGAAGGGTATATCCAACCGACTGCGTAGACCGCGCGGAAAGGGGATTTAAAGAGACCGGTCGAGTTTTCGGCGATTTCCCTCGAGCCGGCGGAACGGAAGGGCACGCGACGGTCGCCTCGGAGGAGCCCCCGAGGACGGGCCCTCCTAAGTCGGGAGGAAGATGGCCGCGTGCACGCACGGGTAAGCCCAAAGTTCCTCTCTATATACCGCCAGGGCTAACGATGGAAACTTAACTACTAAGTCATACTTAATCCTCCCTTGGGCTACCGAGGCGTGCGCGGAAGCCGCGTCTCGAGGTCCAGGCATCGCGGAGCGATGCCCACGGCGGGGCTTGGCCGGAGCGTTAATACCCACCTACGCACGCACACGCGAACGCGTTACACTCGACTCCCACACGTATGTACATACATTTCGTTCGTCGGATGCCAGACTAAACTGTCCTAGCCCCGGATTATGCGAAGTGGCCGGCTTAGCCCTCTTCGGGGGATAGCTCGGTATCGGACCCATCGAACCCATCGAACACGGTTCGGCCTATCCGGACGCCATCGGCCATCCGACGCATTCTCCTCGGTCGGGGCGGATAATGCAACTTAGTGGCACCGACTGTTGTTACGCGTTACCCCCCCAAGGGGATTTGTATTGGTTAAAGTAATAATTGAATGTTACCGATAATTAGCGGCCCGGCACGAGGATTAAACCGCCGTTGTCGAAGCGTCGCCGACTACCGGTATGCCTCGAGAATGCCGGGCGGTTAGGTATTTGGGAACGAAAGAATCTATTCGATCGAAGCCGCCGAGGAACTACCCCAAGGACGATTTCGAGAGACGAAAAGCCCGGCGGGTGCCCGAGGAGGATCCTCGCGATCCGTTCGAACTCGAGGGAACCGACAAGTGCCCGCTCCGGGCGACCGTAGATTTATTAGTCGATCCTCTCTCGGGCGGTATCTCCACCGCGAGGCTCGACGTTCTCCGCCGCGAGACTCGACGTTCCGCTTTATTGGCGGAAATAATCCTTGATGCAATTGCTCTTTGGTCTTGGGAATCCACGACGAGGTCGTCGGGAGTCTGAGAGACACGACGGGGGGTCGCGATCGGCGGGATCGGGCGTTTCATCCGCGGTTAGGATAATTCGAATGGCGCCATCGCGCAGCGCCAGAGTTCCCCGAATAAGTGGTTAAAAATAAGTAGAAATCGTAAAATGGATTGCCGCTTAATTCCATTTTCAGAAATGATTCTCGTTCCACGGCGTCCAACGAAGGCGCGCTCGACTCCGTCGCCGATTAAATCAAAACCAAAGATAAATCGCTTCTCCGTTCCGTTCCGGTAGCAACGATCGAGGCGAAGCTCGATCGAGAGGGTTTCTTACGAGAGTCGAGTCGCAGTTAGTCGCGCCCTAGAGATGGAACATCGTGACGTAGGTCAAACAAACGGGAGAGCCGTCAATGTCGCGCGCTCGACGCTTATCGGCGCCGGGGAGGTCGAGACGTCTCGTAATTCCGAGTGGCATTCGGACGCGCGTTTCCAGTGCGTCGCGCAGATAGCGAACCGAAGCATTCCGGGGTAAATCTGTCCCTGGAAGCGACGGTTCGCTACGCGCCTCTCCTCCTTTGCCTTCTCCTTCGGAGGGAGTTTGCTCTTGATCGAATTAGCGCGCCACGGTTGCCTGATACCCTCGACAGTCTGAATTAATTAACAGGAGGACGCGAGGTAACGAGCCATTATCGATACCGTGCCCGCCGAAACGCGAAGAAGCCGCGACCGGGCCCGCGACCGGGCCCGCGACCGGGCCCGCGACCGGGCCCGCGACCGGGTCCGCGATCGGGCCCACGTCGTGGGAAAGTCGAGTCCGAGTCGGCCGAAGCCGAGTCTCGCGGGTGAATAATGGAAACGCTATTTCCGTCGACGTCGGGTGCGTCCGCGAACGACGCGCCGCGTTTTCGGCAAGGGCGGCGTCTCGACTCCATTAACTTCACACTTAGCGGCGTCTTAGCCCTCCGCGCACCGCCTCGCCTGCCGGTGGAAGATCTGATTAGGGGTTCGAGTCTTTGCTAAACGCGTTAGACTCGGCTGCCGGGAGCCAGGGCGAAGGGGACGGGCCCGTTGTCTCTTCTCCGTGGGCCGTGATGCAAATTGAGTAAGAGCGCCACCAAGTGCCGGCAGGAGATGCGCGAGAGGCGCGAGAGGCGCGAGAGGCGCGAGAGGCGCCGACGGGAGGCGGAGCGGATCCGAGAATTTCTGATCGAAGCAAAGTTTATTCGAGCCCGACCAACCTGCGCCCAAGTGTTGCCGTTTGGGGTTTCCCGTGTGTGCCCAGGAAGCTCGCCTTCCCCTCGCCGTCTTCTTCACCTTCCGGAGGCTCCTCGGGTTGCTCCTTCCTCGACTCTCTCCGCCGCGCGAGGATCGTTTAACGCGGACCGAGGGGGAATTCGTCGACGTCTCGGAACCGGGGCGAGTCCGGGGTCGGACGGGTCGCGAGGACGGCTTCTCGTCCCCGTCTTCCGTTCTCCTCCTCTCGCGCGCGGCCTCGTAACCGCGAAAAAACGAGAAGCGCCTTTACCCCCTTTCGATAACGACCCGGAGCGGTCCGGGAACTCGATGCCGAAAGCGCTTAGCGCTATCGTCGCGAGCGACGCGTATCTTTTCGCGAAATCGTAACGCCATTATACAACCGCGGCCCCTCTCCGATGCCCCCGTTTTTTACGGTCCCGATCCAACGATGGCCCGCCGATCGATTTTGACTTTACGCCAGGCGCACTTATCGCGCTCCGTTATGGGGGAACGTTGCTTTTTACGGCACGACGAGACGCCCGAGCGTTAACGCGAGCGAAGCTAACCTTGGCGTTGCCGGAATTAAGGGTGCCGCCGGATGCGCCGCAGGCGGGAAGACGAACCGTTCGAGCACGTCGGACGGGAGGATCGGATCGCCCCTCGCGGTCCGACCGATATTCTCCGGCTACTCCACTCGGTGTCGTTGCGTCGTTCCCGATTTAATAGCTTACGATAAGGATCGATCCGGCCGAGGGGATACGCGGTTTAATATACTGCGCGAGATTCTCTGGATTTCACAGGGGGGTAACGGGATACCGCTCGCGGAGTGCCGGCTCGGTGACTCTCGACGTCCGTCTCTCGTCCGTCTCTCGTCCGTCCCGACCGACGCGGAGCTCGATGACGGTGAACGACCCACGGTCTTCCCTTTCGCCACCCAAGGCTCGAAAAAGTTGCCAAAAGCGACGGAGGTGCGCGGAGCGGCGGGTACTCGGAACGGGAAGTACGTATTTCCGCAGTTTACTCGCGAGCAGTAAATGTTTAGTATACCGGGCAGGTGCGGAGGTGGTGAAAAAAAATCACGTCTACATTTACATAACCGCCGGTATAAACCACTCGACAGGAATCCCGGCGTAAACCCAAACAGGATCCCGAGCGCGGAATAGCGCGTCCGCTGAATACGCAATAACGACTGCGCGCGCTCCGACCGCGACGTCTCTTCCGCCGCGGGTGTACGGATGCTTCCGCGGACCCGCGCACTTATTTTTATCGCTCCTGCGAGTCCCGTCGCGCGCGAGCGTCTACGTCCGTGATTCGAACGGTTTATGGAACTTTCGGCTCGCGAGGGCAGCCATCGGGGGTCCCTTTTACCGAACGAATAGTTCCTCCGAGGGAATTCCGATCGCCCGGAGCGAGCTTCCGCGTTGGAGCAAACGACGCAAGTGCCCGGTAAAGCGTCGCGTCGAGAAATGTTAATAAACGAGGTCCGAGCGCGATAGACATCGTCCGCTCGTCACGCGTCGTGGTTCGTAGGTAAATCCTGCATGCACGCTCAACGTCCCGCGTCACGAAATCGACATCTACGTCCTGGCATCAGCTACCCCCTGCGGAACCTGACGGGAATTTCAAGTATACGGATCGTCCGCGGGAGATTCCGCGACAGAACGACTTTCGAGTCCTCGGAAGATCCTGTCCCGTAAAAATTTGATCCTCGGAAATGGTCTTTGTTCCGACGATCCCGAGGTCTTCTCTCCTCTCCGCCCCGACGTCCGTTCCGACGTGGCGACCGTGTCGGCAGAGGAGCCTCGCGAAACCCGCGGGAAAGATCGTCCTTTAAACCGGCAATAAAAAGGGGAACGCGAGATTTTAGATTTTAAAGGTCCTCCAAATACTCTCCTCCACCCCCGGCAGAGCGGAGCGACAGTTGGTGGATACATATAACCCTCGTGGCAACCTTATTCCTCTAATATCGTAATCCGGGCACGTTCCTTCGCCGACCTTCCTCCTCCGCCTTTCCCTGTCTTCCGAACCGCTGCGATTCCACCGAAGCGCCAAGGATCACTTATCTCGGAATATCTTAAAATATAGAAATCAGGCGGAAAGGGACAAAACGTCCGCGCACGCAGGAGGAAACGGGACGTCTTCGACTCCATTGCGTGGGATTAAAAGAGTCGAGCGTCGAACGAGACGCCGTAACGATTAACGTCGAACCTCGGTCCACGGTGTTAATTCTCGGTCGGGCCTCGCGACCGAGAGCCCCGTCGAGAATTAGCATCCAAACGGGCTCGAAGATTTTCGGCCGGAAGCCGGTTCCCGGTTCCTCGTTTTTATTTTCTCGCAATTTCCCCGAGGGGAAGGGAAGGTGCCGCCGAGACGCCGGGAGAACGGAAAGCGGCCTTAAAGGGAATTAGCGCGCTTTACTGCTCCGCTATCTCCAACAACCGGCGGCACGGCGAGGAACTCGCGAGATTCGTCTCGTTTCTTGCCCCCGGGCCCTCGTGGTCGGCATTTTTTCAAACCGAATTGCCTCACGTCGTATTCCGTGATTCCAGGTTTTGCGTCGGGGACCGGTTCTACCTCTGCGAGAACAAGATCCTCTGCGAGTACGACTACGAGGAGAGGCTCGTCTTCGCCAACATGGCGCTCCACCCGCCGCCCTCCGCGACGCTCGCGCACATCAAGAGGCAAGTGACGCATCTGCAGCCGCCCGTAAGTACTCGCGCGAGCGGACGTAACGGAGTCGGGCCCGTTTTCTCCCGAGACGCTTCGACGCCTCGCGGCGGGATCGCCTCCTGCCGGGGCGAAGCGGTAGGACGTCTTCTGACCCTCCCGGCAACAAAGGAACCCCTCGAGGGCGCCGTGGTCCTCCACCGCCGCTCCGCCGTCGCTCCGCCGTCGCTCCACTGCCTTGCGAGTAGGATATCGCGTGTCCTTATTAATTAAGCTCGACCGACGAGCGTGGCCCGACCGGCGTCGCATGCCTTAACGATCCGAAGCGCTCGCGGCCTCGAGTAGGTGCCAACGCGGGCCTCGTTCCCGGGGGACCCTCGCAAAAGAAGGCGGTCGACTCCCCCCGAGCAAGGTTCCGCTCGGGGCCGAGCCACTTGGGATCGGGCCCTTGATTATCCTAAGATAACAGCGGCGCCTCGCAACGATAACCGGGATCTGCCTCGTCTCGTTCGGGTCGACTAAACCCGGATCGGATACCTGTCCGATCAGGAACTCGTCTCGGAGGGATCTTGCGGGCATCTTCGCGGCTATCGGCGTCGCCTACCGGAATTATCCTAAGAAAATATTTACCGCGGCGGTCTGGCGAATTAATTAGGCCACCCACTTATTCTCAATATTTACATATTTCTTAAAGCTCGGCTTATCGCGAAGGCGGCGAAGGAAGCCCTTCGAATTAAAATTGCGCTTACGCACGAAACCGGACACGGATAACGAATTCTCGAGACGGGACGGCAAGAATTCGAAAAATGTTAATTAGGAAGCCGATTTGGGCGATCGATCTCGGGAATCGGCGAGGGACGGTGGAGGCGAGAAGAGGGAGCCAAGGGGGCACGGGTATATCTACCCGCTCGAATCATACGCATGCATGGAATAACGAGGTTCTCGCTCGATGATATCGGAGTCGGTAACGTGTACTACTTATAATATGCAAATGCTTTCCCCCTCCCCGCGGCCCGCCGCAGCTCCTTCCACCGGCGTTCTGGCAAACTGCGCGTAATTCAGGGGTTGGTAACCCTTGCGACTCTATTCCTGCGCCACGAAAGGGGCGACTCTGTGTACCTTAGTTTAATTAATATCGACCGCATTAACGAGTCGACTCGCTCGTTCCAACGCGTGATCCGAAACGCGAAAGCACCGGTTTCGGGAGCGGCGGTCCGGACCCACCTCCGGGACGCGAGTCGCTCCGGTGGTCGTGTCCTACGAAACGACGCGGGAAAGGGCTCCTGACCGCGTCCGCCCGCGAGGACGTCGTTACATGTGGCCGGGTGTTCCCGAGGTTTTCCGTGGACGCGAGTCGACGGCGAAACCGTCAAGAGTGATCCATCCAGCTTAGAATGATGGATGCGACCGACGGCATTAGCATGCCCCGCCGATTATTGGCATTAGCGCACCTCCGCCCTTATATTTCACGCCCTATTATTCTCTTGTCATTTATAAACGAGGAGCTCCGGGAGCATCCTCTCTGAAATAACCCTAAAAGACCGCGACTGTACCGACTCCCGAAAGGGACGACCCGCGATAACGTTCGGCGATCGTTTGCGAGATCAATTATCGATTCCCTACGAATTAACTCGCATCCGTTAATTGACGACGGCCGCGTCGAGGTGTTATTTTTCGTCGACGGTGGCGTTCGAGGGTAAAAGTAATTTTAAGGTCTTTAGGTTTTATCGGCTCCCCTCCCTTGAGGATCGCGTTCCGCGAGAGCCCTCAAAGGGAAAAAGGGCGAGCAAAATCGCACCCTCTTGGATTCGAATCGAGCGCGATGCTAGATTCCGTAACGAGATGCAAAGCGGCTGTAACGTTATCCCAGAGAAGGAATCGGCGAGGAGGTGTTAAGATTCTTAAAAACCACCAAGAGGCAGACGGTTCCGACCAACCCTCCTCGGCCTCTCGACGTCGACGCTTCCGTCCCTCCCACCGGCCACCCTCCGTTCCTTGCTCCTTAAGCCGAACCGAAGAGGGTGCCGCCGTGCCGTTAAGAGGGTGGAGGGGTAGTTTTTCTGATTGCCTGAGAACGGACAGCTGTTTCAATCTTTCGAGCGATGGGAGGACGGCCCTGTGGTGCCCGGGTTGCCGCGCTCCTCCACGTACGGAAACAACGTCGGTTACCTTACCCTGGACGGCCAGGGTAAGGTAAGGCTAAGTTAAGGCTGATTCGAATGGCACGGACACTTCGCACTACGAGGGATCCAGGGATCGAGGACGATCGCCCGCGCGATTCGGGCGGACGGCTAATTAAATTTGACGAAAATCGCTTCCCAATAGGGAAGGCTCGGACCGGACCCGGTTCAGCCCGGGTGGAGGGGCGCGTCCCGCGGTACTTCTTTCGAATTAAGCGGAGCTTTTATTTCCCTTTAAATTCCCACTTCCGCCGCGACAAGCCTTCCGGCGTACCCGGAGGGTGAGGGTGGACGGGAACGGACTCGAAACGATTATCCGAGTTTTAAGACAAACTTACGGAACGTCTGCAAAGTATTCCCCGTGAATCGAGGGGACGTTCGGCGGCGGTGGGTCGGAAAGCCGTCGCGCGGCGGCCGGGACGAGGGGTGGCCGAGGTAATATGCTAATACCGAGCTGGAGCAACTCGGGAATTTAAGAGGATCGATGTGTACCGCCTCGAGTGTAAGGGTATTTAACGACGTCGTCGGTACTTGTTGCGAAAGATTAAGTGCACGGGGTATGTTTCGTAGAAATTGGACGAACGTTTTTGCGGTCACGTTTCGCGGTCGGTGGAAAATGGACGAATTTACCCAAGATCTCGATCCGTCCGAGGAAGCGCGAATTTTCTGACGTAGGCCCGAACGGTTTCGAAGAACAAAAGGGCTCGCAAATATTAACGCTCGCTCGACCCGAGTACATCCATATGGAAGAGCACACGCGAGCGCAAGTTGCACGGGGATAACGTTAACGAGCATGCTATTAGGTTGCGTTGCATGGCTGAATTTCACGTAAGCTTCGACCCCGTCGTGTACCGACGCACGCCGAGGAGCCCGCTTGGGAAAGCCCAGCTTGCGAGCTTAGGTGAGATTACGAGTTTAGTCGCGAAACAACTTGCCGGTTCTCCGCGGAACTCACTTTTATAACGATTATTACTCGTGCGTGCGTTATCCCGTTTACCCTCGTCCTCGGACGAACGGCACCGGCGCATCGGTCAGATTTCCCGATTTCCGAAGGACCGAAAAAGCACGGCATCCGAGCCGTTGCGGCAGAAGCGACGCTAACGTTGATTACGACGTCGGCAATAAATCCCCGGACGATAATTCTTCCTCTGGCAATTGTAGATAAAAGTTGAATAAGTCATAGAGTTAATTTAAGCGGAGCGGTCGGCGCCTACGGTGGAGGCACCTCCGGTCGGCCGGCTCCCTTAATTACGGCCGGCACTAAGGAGACAAGCGGCAAGGGTTGCCGGGAGATTTAAGGATTCTTGTACCAGCCGAATGCCGGCCGAGGGATACCGGCGAACGATAAGGAAGTCCCTCTTTCCGGGGTGCTTTGTCATTTTTATCGTAATTATTTACGGGTTAATTATTACCGTGGAAACCTCGAAAGCGGAAACCACGCAAAAGCGGCACTTGCGCCTCGCTGACAGTCCCGGTTAAAATGGCAATTCCACCGGTTCGACTTCGCAAATATACCGAATTAACTAATGTTTACCGGCATACCGCGTTCGCTCGAGTGGTTCAATTCAATGTTATCCGGTATTACTCACAGTATACGCGCTCGGATACGGTGCCATTTAACACCTACCGGTTCGATCCCATAAACCACGCGTTTCTCTCTGTTTCTGATTTTTTTAAATACGTCCCTCGGTGCTCGCCCCGATGGAAAGGAGATCCGATCGGATACGAACCGAAACGGCCTTCACCGGACGTCGTATCGGACGTCGTACCGCGCGTCGACGGGTAAGGATGGACGCGCGGCGAAACGATCGCCCGGTGATGGAAAGAAAGTGGAAAATACCGACGTCCTTCCGGCTCGGAACCGGCCCGAGAAGAAAAGAAAAAGCCTCGTACCTGCGAGGCGGGCGGCGCGTTAAGTTGGCACATGTACCGCCATCGGGTGGGGTCGTGCACCGGGGGGGGGGGGGAGCGAAGATTGCGAGAAAAGTCGAGGGTATTTTTCGCGAGATTTCCGCCTCTCCCGAGCGCACGAGTAAGACATTAATCGCGGGGGATCGGCGCGGTGGAAGTAGTTTGTAACGAGAAGGAAGGAGCCCCGACTCCGGATTTAGCGGCAAAGGGGGTGTTCTCCGCTCGGGGGCGGCAGAAATCGCGTGTCATTTGTCCGTTGATCTCCCGCGGCTGGGAACTGGCCAGGTGTTGCGGCGAGCCGCGCAAAAATTAGCACCGCTCGCGCCCCGCCCGGAAAGAGAATTAGGCAAGACGTCGTTATTCTCGAAGAGGCCGCTCGGCCCGGGAGATTAACCCTCGGAGCACGCGCCGCCTGCCGCCGGTTAACGGGGACGTCGGTCCCGAGGTCGAAAGAAATCCCGGCGCGTCTCCTTATCCGCCCTCCGTTCCTAAGGACTCCGTCCTACTCGAGAACCGGGACGAGTTTCCCGCGTTCCTCGGCAGGAGGACTCGCGAGAGCGGGTAATTTAACGCCTTGCAAGAACAACCCGGGAACGTAAGAGAAGCGGTCGAAGACGTCGCAAGTTTGGAGCTTTCCGCGGATTTTACCTTCGAGTTCCCTCCTACTCCCGCTTTCTCCCTCGCTTCGCTCTCTTCCTCCCTTTGGCTCTCACGGTCTGTCGAACGAACTCCACATAAATATGGCTTCCAGAACGGCGGGCGTTCCGCACAAGTTACTTCCAAAGTTGCGATACGAGTTCGCTCCCAGCCTTTTGTTTCTGGAGGGTGCCGCGCTTCGAGAATCGAGTCTCGAACGCGATGCGTCGACGGAACGAAAACGAGTCGAGAGCAGCTCCGTCGAATTAAGGAATCGCCGTTCGATTACCGACGTTCGGAAATTCGAAGGCGCCCCTCGATCGTCTCGGCGCGTCGGCTCCGTCCTCGTCCGAACGACAAAACCGCATATCTTTGCCCGGTCTCGCGACATCGCCGTTCCCCGTACGTTCGTTGCGTCGATATCTCGATCCTCTCGGAATGATACACGTTTTCCCGTTGCAGGGCGTCGCCACCGGAGGCCAGCAACGGGCAGCGAACGGGGAGGCGCCGACCCACAACCACAACGGCTACCCGACGACTCCCACGTCGGCCGCTCACAATGCGCTCAATCCGATGAACAACTTGAACGGCATCAACGCGCAACCACCCTACGACGCGAAATGACAGTCAAAGTAAATACGAGCTGGCCAGGCGGTCACCGTTGCGAGTCGGTCGGGCGAATCCCGACACCGCGCGACTCTTCCCGGACGCCAAACTCGCTCGCCCGATTCGACGGAGGTCGGCCAAACCCATCCTCGATTTTAGTCCATTGACGTCCTATGTCATTTATAACCGCTGGCCGTATACCGCCAACGGAATGCCTCGCTAATTTTCGCCGATTCTCGAAGCAGTGCTTTGCGCGAATAACCTTTCCACGATTCGAGTCGTTTGCCAAGACGGTGCCGAAATTCCGGGGCGTCACCCCGAGGTGACGACGTCGGTAGCTCTCGCGAAGGGAATCGCAATCGTAGATTCCAAAGGTGCAAACTCCCACGTGTAAAGTCGAGGAGAAAAATGCGCGAAAGTTGAGGGAGGGATCGATCCTTCCAAATCGGGGAGATCGAATCGTACCGATCTCCTGTCCCGAGGCCTCGCTCGCCCCCGGGGGCACCGTACATCAGGGGTGACTTAGCATTGTTTCAAGTTCGAATCTCTGCGCGAGGCCAGATTGATGTCGCGAACTTTCGTGGCTGCCTTATTTGCGAGTCAGATAACGAGGCTGAGTTATGCGTAAAGTTGCTGCAGGGGATTCAGGGATGGCGACCAACGGGGAAAAGAGAGCACGGCGGTTCTCGGAAGATGTTTTATTTCCCCGGCATGACGCGCCGCGTATGCTCCTGGACTCGCCGAGCTAAGCTCTCGACTAATTTTACGAGCCGTGCGCGTCCACGAGGGAAGGAAACGTTGCTTTTATTTTCGGATCGATTTCGTGGCATCGCGGGCAATGGTCGAGACGAAAAATTTCATCGCTCGACGCGAATCGTGATCTCGAGATCGAAACCTTCGTTCTTCCGGGGAAGCGTTTCGTATTCTCGGCAATGGAAACGCGATTCCTCTTTGACGTCGTGCGCGCGAACGTCCGATCGCGGATCGAATGCTCTCACGGCATGTAGGAACCTAGAGATTTCTCCGACGTCGAGAAGTATTATACGAGTATACGTATAGTTCCTAAATTACGCGCGTTTGCGTCGGCATGTGTACAGAAATGAAGACTATCCTGTGCGAGCCGAGAGAAGACAAGGAAGCGGAACCGCGAACGAAAAAGAGAAGACCAAGACGTTCGAAATATATGTGCGAATATTATATCCTAACGATACTTATCGAAGCTAGTCAAGACGCGTTTACGTATAGGCTCCGGAATGCGAGTAGAACCGACATCACTTCCGATCCCCCTGTATCGTTAATCGGTCGTGTCATCGGCTTACAATATTCAAAATCGATAAACGCGAACGCTCGAAACTAACCAAGCGTTCCCGTTTCGATGGCCCTTTACTTCTTGCATTTGTAGTACCTTTCGCACGGAGAGGCGCTTTTCTTCTCCAAATGACAAGTCCATCGAACCATCGTTTCTAATTACCCGTACTTGCTCTAAACCTGCTTTTTCATCGATCGCCATTAATACGACACGGTGCTTAGAGCAACACGAATACGTGATGGAATGCGAACGTTTTAAGTATGTTGCGTATGACTAACTAGTCAACCGGTCTGTTTTGTAATATAGTTTTATTATATAGAAAGATTATTAACTCGAATAAAATGATCGTTTCAACGTTAACCGCGAAAGATGCGATACCTTTCGATTCCATTTGGATACCGGATTAAGCGACAAACCGATCGAAGCGATCGGACCGAAGTCTACCGTAAACTAAGATTTACCATAAATCGTACGTGGAGTCGTCGAGCAATGACTTACGGTGTATTAGAGAGTATCGGAGAGTCGAAGAAAACACGAAAATCCTTGGTTCGTCGATGAAGGCGTCGAATGCCGGTGCTTTCCATCGCGCATTCCTCGCGTTTCCTCATCCAATATTTAAGGATGATACGTGATTGGCCGGCAAATCCGAGTGCTTCAATAATTTACCAGTCATATACGGTCCTTTGTGTTTTATGCGAAGGCGTTTCGAATAAATCGCATTGTGTATTCAGAAGAGCGAATTCCGACCCTATTGGGGTGCGAACGCGTCCCGCCTCTCTTCTGGCCATATGCCCTTGCAGTCGGTTGCAAAAACCAAATGGAGAATGGGCAATCTCGGCTCGCACGAATTGACTCGAAATTCGGCTGAGCATCGCGAATTTACGACAATACTTCGAAACAGGCCTTAGCTCACCGAACGCTCGCACCGACGAGCGGGACGAAACTCCGGAGGACTTTCCCTCGACCCTATTCTCGCGCGAGAAAAGCCCGGAATGACTTTTAACCGTAAACACGGCCAGGGCAAGGAAAAACGGGCGGGGATCGGTCGCGCGGTGGGTTCGTTCGTTCACCTCCGCAATTAGGTGCGCCGAGAGGTAATCGCGGTCATAAATACCATTTATTGGGGGGCCGTACTCTAATTGCCAATGATTAGCACGAATTCAGCCATGAAAAATTGCCAATTTGCATCGAACCGCCGTCGTTCGTCATAATTTCGCGAGGAGCGCGTTCGATCCGCCCCCCCTAACCTTCGTCTTAACTCGGACGGTTTCCACTTTCCTGGCAGGGGTTTCAATTAGCCCTTTCCAGCGGAAGGGCGAGCATCGAAGAATTCGTAACCTCTACCTACGCGGCGGAACGTCGAGTGCCGGAGGGATTTGACGTTTTAATTCCTCGCGCGATGACGGTCCTCGTAAAGCATAACGGTACCCGCGAGTATCCCTAAAGCCCTGGCAGCTAGCGCGAGCACTTGGCCGCGTCAAATGAGAATTAAGGATAAAGAAAGGAGGGAGATGGAAAGGATGGAAAAGTTGAAATCTCCGCAGGATGGTTAAAAGTTTTACCGTCGCGCCGAGGGCCGTCGTATGCCGTCGTTTGAATCGCTCTAATTAAAAAAGCCGTTTCGCAAATTTCCATAAAACAAGGAGGGTCGTGTTAAACGCCGCGACCGCCGGTCCGGGATTGCCGGTCGCGTCCGCATCTCCCGCTCCCGGGGTCGCTGCTTCTTTTCCGTTTCCCAAGGAAGGGAGGCAACGAGGACCGCCCGCTAACGGAGACATTTTGACGGCAATCGATGGAGCGAGAATGCGTCGAACGAAGCTAGTCGGGTCTTATAAAAGGGTACCGACCCGTGCTTAGCGGGTGGTTTAACTTGCTTCGAGGATTAAGTTGAACGCGTTTAAGGGCTGCCGGCAGGAGCGCGGAATTTCAGCTTTTATTTTCTTACCCCATTTCGCCTGGCATGGCTCGGTAGGTATTTCGTAATTAGAAGGAAGTATCTCGTCCGTGGAGGGGCTTCTTATTAATTATTATCGCAAGCTGGCGGCATCCCTTGCTACGGAACGAAGCGGTAATCGTCGTTAATTTTCTGACCTCAATTGTCGCAACGAAACGAACACGCGGAACGGATTTTTCGTCACCCCGTGCTCTCCGCGCCGGAAACGGGAAGGCGATGGGCGCATTCGCGGCCGTTTCGGGCGGCGAGACGGATAAGGGACTCTGGTCGGAAAGATGGAGAATCGAGCGTCAAGCGGCGAGAGGGGCGGGGAATATGGGAATATATTTCTCCTCTCGTCGACCCCCCGGAGACTTTAATTTCGTCGTTAACGAGCGCCCGAAGAAAAATTTGTGGGAGCGTCTTAAGCCCCGGAACGGTCCGCCCGGCTCCCCTCCGGACCGGCCGCGACGCGCCGGCAATGAAAGGGTTGAAAGGAGCCGTGGCGGCGGAAAGGGCCAAGGAGAAAAAAGTTAACGCGGACTGCCCTTCGGGGGATCCTCCCTTCGCGGCCGAGACAATCCCCCCCTCGTCTCTGCGAATATAATATCGCGACGTTTTAATAAACTGAGTTAGGCAATCAAGGCGGGCGTTAAAAAGCTTTGTTGTTTTAACGGCTGTTTTACGCCCGCTTAAATCACACTTTGCCGACTCGCACGGCCGCGCGAAAGAGAGAGAGAGAGGGAACGAGCGGCCGAGGGGGAGGTGGAGGAGGAGAAAAATGCGGAGAAAAATGCGGAGGAAACGAGAGCGGGGCAAAAAAGGGAGGGAGGGAAAATACTTGGCAGGCTGCGAGGAGCGGCCGGAATAGAAACGTTTTCATAAGAGTTATGGAAATGAAAAGAATGCGAAAAGTTCGGACCCTTCGGGCCGCGCGTCCCTTCGCACCTCCGCTCGCGGCCGCGGCCGCGGCCGCGGCCTTTTGCGTTTTATTGCTCGGGGCCAGGGGACACGCATCGCCCGCTCGGATATTATTTCAGTCGGCGCGCATATCTCCGTAAATTAATGTTATGAAAACAATTTTTACTTTTTTAATTAGTTGTTGCCTTTACCGCGGACGGCTCGGCGTCGGCTCGACGAAACGTGCAAACCCCGACGCCGCGGGGATGCCCCGCCTCCTAGGGGACCACGGGGATCGTTCCGTCGCGGCCGGTCCTCCCGCTCGCGGCGCCGTTCCTTCGGTTCCGATCCGGGCTCTCCGCCCTCGGCGCCCCGGATAAAAAACCCGTTAAAATCTAACGGTTATAGCCGTTTGACCGTTTTATCGCGCCGCGCTTCCCTGGCGCTCGGAAACGCGGAGGGTGGCCACCTGTGCGGCGCGCACCTTCGAGCCGGCGGACCGGATATTTCCCGGCCGTCTCCCCCGGTCTCGTCCGGACTTATTTCATATCGCGGGTCTCTTTGTCGCGAAATGTCAAGTATTTCAATCTCGCTTTCCGTCCCGGAGAGTGGACGGTCCTCGCGGACGTCGCGAGGCGCGTTCCTCCGGGATCCAAAGACGGTTCCCGCGCCCCGCGTCCCGTGTTCCGGGGGAGGGGAAGGATTCGTCGTTAAACGTTCAATTCGCGTTTCCCGATGCCGACGCCCGTCGCGCGTCGCTCGGCCGAGTCCAAAACTCGTTGAAACGACTTCGTCAGTTCTCCGATGTCTCTCGGCGAGGCAAGAAACGTATCCGAGAGAAAGGTCGCGCGGCCTCGTGATCGTACACAAAGACCCGTTCCCTTCACCCCGCCGCCGCTCGCGCGCCTCTCGTATTTACAGAGTTTAACGGAAAATAATAAAGCTCGTTCACGCGGCGCTCCTCAGAGGTTTCGGCCGAACAAATGGAAGCCCGCGAAAAATTACGAGAAGGAGAAAGAAATGACCACTCGCTCGATATCCCCTCCACGACCTGCCCCCCGAGTGAAATCGGAAATTCGGGCGAAACGCGTCGAAACGCGCCGGAACGCGCCGGAACGCACCGGAACGCGCCGGAACGCGCCGGAACGCGCCGGAACGCCCCGGGCGACGCGAGAGGTCAAACGGAACGCGTTCTCTCCCAAAGGACGTTCGAGCGACGACTTCGGACCTTCGCCGTGGCCCTGCCCCGCTTCCGCCGTAAACCGGTCACTCGGCGGAGCGTCCGCGAGAGGCCCCGACACCCCTCGAAGGAAGCAGCAGGTGAGATCGTTAGCGCCGAGGGTGCGACTTTGCATTGTGCCTTGAAGAGTACGTAAGTGTTAGTTTATTGTTACCCGCTACCCGGTGGGCAAGCCGGTCTTCATATTTCATGCGGGCCATTAGAGGCCGAGTCGGCGAGAGGAAGAGACGAGAGAAGGCCCTCCCTGCCGGCGCTCTTTCCGTTTCGCCCGGGAGACGAGCCCGATTGCCCCGCGGACAATGAGCACGGGTTCGGCCGGATTCCGTAAAACCGCGACAATAAGGGAGAAAACCGAAGGGCGGCTGCGGGGGAAACGGCGGGTAATTTGAATGAAGAGACGAGAGACAATGCGTCGGCGGAAGGACCCCTCCTTCCCCGTCGGGAGAAGGGCGGGTGAAAACAACCGCGGAATCGAATTAGGGCCGGCGGCCCCCGCGCCGCGGAGAATCGTAATTATATTTACAAGTGGCAGTTCCCCAAAACAAAGCCAGGCAAGATTGCTCGATTCATTCCCGGGTCCGTCGCCGGGTGTCGCCGGGTGTCGCCGAGAAAACGAGAGGGAGAGAGAGAGAGAGAGAGAGACCCCTCGAGCCGCCGTCCGGACGGAACGCTGCCTCCGGGCTTCTCCCGGAACGGTTGCCGGATCCGTCCGATTTGTCGGCGAGAAGTATCCGGGGAAACGCCGCGGACGTGGTTATCGTTTCCGCGAAAGTTGCAAGACCGCAAGAAGAGCCGCCGACTTTCCTCCCTTTTTCGTTTGGTCGCGTCGACGCGATCAACTACGTAATCGCGTTATACGCCGAGAAACGCGACTCGTGACGCGACAAGGGAGCACACCTCGCTAATCCGCAAGTTATAACTCCATTGGCCGACTCCTTTTTCCTCGTCGGCGTGGAAACGCAAACTCCTCGTCGAAAGTTCTCTCGAGAGTCGAGGGTAACTTCTGCCAGTAATGGCGGGACATTAATTTCGGTCGATTGGGCCCAGAGGGCTACTGGAGAGAAGAAGTATTCTCGGTGTCTGAGTCTCGCCGGGAATCGTCGCCCTCTTTCGCAAGGGACCCTCGAAACGTTCGAGACTCGCCAAGAGGTGGAGGACGATTTAACCCTTTTGGGGCGCTTGGAGGGAAACGCCTCCTTCGAGAAAAGCGCGGCATACCTAACCGCCGATTGCCCAGGAGTTTGAAAAGAGGTGCACCGACCGATTCCACTCATTGACTTTGGTAAGAAACCTCTTTGTAACGGGCGTGGCGTCGATTCCTCGCGTTACTCGAGCCTATTTCCGTCCGAAGACCGATAATGCGTATCATTTAACGAGTCGATATTGGCGTTATTAAAATACCACTTTCTCGCCCTCTCCCCGACTCCGCGGGGTAAACGACTCTTGTTTGTTTTGCAAACAAAGGGTTTTCGCTGAGACCGAGAGCAAAAGGATACCGTAGAAGGAGGGGTGATGAAAACGGGGTCAGAATTATTACATCTTTTGTTCGAAGGCTCGAAACCGCCCCATTCGCGGAGCCACGAATCGAGCCATGGCGGCCGAGTCGCGACCCCGGAAGCCATTTCTCGCGTAGACTCGACTTCCGTCCTCTCGTTCAATTCGTTCCGAATTACCTCTTCGAGAGCAACGTTTTATCCTTAATTTCCTTCAAACTCGGATTCTTTCCTTGTGTCCGCCATCATTTATACTTGTACGTTTTATTTCGACGCGCTCGATTCATCTTTATTCGTATAGTAGTTTTCTCGAGCGTAACGATATTCGCGTTATTTTATACCGCGATTACCTTCTACTTAGGAACTGCTGTTATAAACGTGCGATTCGTTCGAAACGACGAAACGACGAAACGCGATTATTTTTCACGTAAATGGGCTTCCGTTACCGACGTCGGAACGTTGCCCTACCAAAATTTTACGCCCTCTCGTAAGAAGCCGTAGTTCTCGCATTTTTCTTTAACCGTAGGCTACGGCTGGAAAGCGTATGGTTGTGCCGCGCCTCGGAACGTCATAAAAGCCAACAATGATGGAAGTATTACTTTTTAAAGTCGCACAGGGTGTCGTTAACGGCCCTGTGCTTTTTCGTTAGAAAGTCAAGGGTTACTTAAAGCCAGACTCGCACCCTACCATTCGTTCCTGTCTATGAAAGCGCCTCCTGCTCTCTCCCTTTACTTTCCGCGTTTTCTTGCTCTTCTGGTTTCTCTCGTTTCCTTGAAAGCTCCTTTTCTGTAATAAATATGTATTTCCCTGCCGCTGAAAATATCCCGTATTGGGCATTCCATGGGGAGGCCTCTTAAATAATTCCCCACCCTCTCCCTCTCTCTACACGAACGCGTTCTATTTATATTTATTAATTTAAAGGCTAAAACAAAATTGAAAACGGTAAAAGGTTTTCTGGAACTCTAATTATAGCAATATCGCTAAACCATTACTTTCCCTGCTACTAAATTAAAATATACTGGATTCTAATAATAGAACCTTTTAATTACCCGATTTCAACAGTAATTCATTTTATTTTATTTCTTGAAATCTTTTCCCGTGGATTTTAACACTTGTTGAAATGAGTATCAACGGTTGATTTAAATTTTGGTTTAACCCATGTGCCGATATTGCGCATCTGCGAATGAAACGTTGCTCTCATTTTAAACGGTACAAAATAGTCATATAATACAATAACGTGGCAGGGTACTTGTACAAATTATAGTATATATATAAAACACGTATTTACATGTTTTTCAGTAATTTGAACTACCTACATCACTCGTATCATTAACTTAACCTTATGTCTAATGAAACGTTTAGTCCAATCGGCACTATTGTCCTCGAGACTTTTTAACAATCGGTTTGATCTTTAGGATGTACGTTGTATCTTCGCTGAAGTTCTTCCTCCATTGCAGCCATTTGTTCTCTGTTTTGTTCTTGTGTCATCTGTTCCATGAGTTCATGATTGTATGTAGAATGCAACATGAGGGCCAAAACTCCAGCTCTGGTAGCCATGTTCGATCTTATTTGTCTCTCCTGTTCGACCAGCTCGTCAATTTTAAGCCACTGACGAACTCTCTCCATATCTATTTCGGCTCGTCTCAACTTCTCCCAAACATAGTGTTTAACGCATACTTTCTTTGGTGCTCGACAAAATTCCCCAGTACTGTCAAACACGTTTGTTACGAGTGGACAGCCGCACACTTCGGTATCGCTTACTTTTGGGTCCTTACAATGTTCAGGACACAGCACCCGTAGCCTTTTGCAGTAGGTCCGGTTAACTGGATTATAGAAGTCGCAGAACATCACCTGTCCCTCGATTCGAGTTTTAAAAATAGAACCAAAGGAAGCTTGCGATTCATACTGGAAATTAAAAAAAAAAAAGATGTTCACATTTTACATTTTGTATCAGAGAACAGGAAATACAAGCATGTAATCTTACAATATTTGTAATAAGTACGATTTTGCAATGTAATTAAAAGATACAAACTGCGCAGGTAATTTAATGTGTTCTATTTTCTTGCTTGAAATGTCATTTTAATTTTTTTTACTGGTCCATGGATTTTTTGCTAAATGTCTTACAAAGTGATTGTTAATATTCCTTATGAAATCAGTAACTAATTTTAACATGAAAATTCCTTCTAGGCAAGTTGTAACTGACAATTTTTAAATAACTAATTACAAAAACACCGAACAATACCTTATTGAAACACTTTTCCATGTGCTTAATAGCAGTTCTAGAATGAATCTCATGGCCGCACGTAATGCAGTACATGCTCATCTCTGCATCATCGTTATCGTCAATTTCAGCTTTAGAATCGATTACAGCATGTTTAGCACGTTCAACGATCCTATCTAACTCTAAATGACGTTTATCCAGTTCATGGAGAATTCGTCTAACGTCGTTCTGCTGCTTTCGAACCGATTCTAAAGCTCTTCTATTATTTTGTTCCGCAACACATGGTGTCAATGACCACTCCTGAATCCGTTGCGGTAGTACTTGGTAAATTCTGTTTGTGGCTAGTTTCATACCACACTCGTCGGAACAATATTTGCTACCTGGCCGAGATTGCTTTGTACAAGCAGGACCGTAACATTGTCTCGGAGGTTCGAGGTGTTCGCTCCTTTCATTGCTCGAGTCTCGTTTTCGTTTTCTACTAGGCTTTGTCGGTCTGTTAAAAGATTTTGTAGGTTTCAGAGGAGCTCCCAGTGCTCTGCACATCCGTTGAACACATCGAAGTTTTAATCTTACCGATGGCCCAAATTTTTTAAGATGCCTGCAATGTAATAACAATATTTAAATAGGTTATCATTTAAAAAAAAAGTGAAAAACGGAAACAATCTACCTGCACGCATCGCATTTCCCACAGTTTTCTGTTCGAATACATCCTGAACACTCTCCACAATACTTGGAAGATTTTTTCATTGCAGCAGGATCCCACGGGGCATCGTATTCATATCTATGACTGCTTTCTTTCTCTTTATATTTCTTATGTTTACGGTCATCTTGATCTGTACGTTTTGGCTTATACCTCGTAATCAAGGTTGGATCTTCTTCTCGACAACGCTACAATTATATTGGTGAATAAGTATTTGAGTCTATAGCTTTTCTAATAAATTTCATACTTACAACACAAAAGAACTGCTTGATGTGTTTTGCCTCTTTCTCCGTTATATTTATGCAATCCCCGTGGTACCATTCTTCGCAAGCGTCACATCCTCTGTTAAAATAATGTGTGAAATTAGTGGATATACTAAGAAATATGTCAAATTTAGTTGAAAACAATTTGCAAATTTGAAATGTGTCCTTTTGACTGGATCAATGATGGATTTTAAAGTTAAGTACAATTTCAGTAAAGTCTTATAATTGATAATTTTACATGAAATTGGCATAAATGACAAGATTAATTATTCCATCTTAATTTAGCAAGTAATTTCATAGCCTCTTAAAAAAATCATGTACCATTAACAGCAGTGTGACTTTATACCTACATCATGAAACGAGAGCTATCGGAACTCCGGCAAATACAATATGCCTGACCATCTTGTTTCAGTAGTGTAGCAATTTTGCTCTTCCTCTCGGGTAGCATAAATTGTTTAGCAATCTCTTCTTTCTGCACAATTTTTAAGCATTTGCCTAAATTAATCTGTTATATTTCTTCTTAGCACAAAATGTATTATAACAAATAAAATAATGTTAAAAAATGCAATTTTAATTTCATTTATATATACTGTAATATTTTGTGATTTTATAGAATAGAATGAGTCTAGGAAATCTTTAATGTTGTCAAACTCGGTACTTAATGTGAATATAATTAGTTTAAGATTTCTTTCGGTTGTTTATTTTTCTTGAATACTTATCTATAATAGAGCTATAAATTGCAAAATTGCTTTTTGTTAATACCTGCATAAAAACAAAAAGGAACTCGCATAAACAGTGCAGGCAGAACGTACTCGGCTTACTTACCGATAATCCATGTCGCAATTTGTCACCCATTTCAGCGATTATAAGAATGATAAAGAACCGCAAATGGCAATCTTCTTTTAATTAATGACTGCTTTCATTTACTACCTTATAAACGTGATACCAACAATATCAGCTGCTGTATGCACATGCCTGTTTGTGCTTTCCACTGCCTGCAATCGATGAAATTGGATCTGGCCAGAAGTACAGAGAATAACAGAGAGTGTCTGCTGCTGTATGTTTCGCAGCTGTTGGTCAGTCCTTCTACCCTAGCTGCCATTCACCGAAACCCTTCCATACTTAGCATAGACACGCTCCACGTTGTTCGCTCCAAAATCGCTTCAAACCTCTGTATCACCGCTGAAAAAATCGCTACCCTTCGCGCCAGAGATTAATTTGAAGAGAAAAACCTTTCCTATGGAGACAGCGGGCAGTTCGCGCACTTGCTCCGAATGGCGGCCCAATTGAGGAATCTAACTCATCTCTGAGTTAGGTCGCCATTGGGAGCAAGTGCATGAGCCACCTGCATGCTCCGCCGAGGGCAGCACAGAACGCAATCGCGCAACCCTGCCCGTGAGCAATCTCCCAACTCATCTCTGGCAGAGATTCTCGTGAGCGTTCTCCAAGAGTACGTGAGCCGCCAACGGCGACTGGTAGATGGTACCCAACTCATCTCTGTTTCTGGTCTCTATGTCGTGCATCTCTCATCTTTTCGTTTTTGTTCGTTTTTAATGAGATTCGATGAGATTGTTGGATGGACGACGCGAATGGTGTTAGGTGTAGTTTGACGTTTTGCGAGTTTATGATATTTTTTTGCGAGCAACATTTTGATACATTCGAATCTCAAATGTAATATTAAGTAGAATCGTCTGATTTTTTTGAGTGATCACAAGCCTCTTGTAGTCCGTGCATGTATAACAATAAATAATTGTTACGGTACGATTTCATTCTTGTCAGTGATAACCTAAAATTGAGTTTATGCAATGTACGCATTAATATGAGTTTTTTATATTTTGTTAATTGCTAAAGAAATGTACATTTCTTTGTTTAAATGTAAATATTTATGAGTGAAACATGTGTACAACTTCTGTCGATCTATGCTGATACAGCTTTTACCATGTTTTGCTGATCGAGCAATTAAAAGGATTAACATTCTCAATATTTTTATACCAGTAGTAAGCGGCAAGAATACATGATTAGAGTTGCTTTCAAATTCTTGGATCTATAAATATGGGGAATGGAACCAAAAGAGGGACCATCACCACTTTTGTTCGTTATTAGACTACTTAACTATACATGCTTTATATCTTCCTGACATGATTACGAATAATATAATGCTGCCACTGAGGATACTTTAAAGAGGGGTTTTATTGAACAGAGATTATACATTTTCTAGGAATCATAATGCCGATCTTATATAGCGTGGTAGCCAGGGGCTCGACAGTGCTCGCAAAACATGCCTCTTGTACCGGTAATTTTGACGAGGTTACCGATCAAATACTCGCTCGCGTAGCTCCTCACAATGACAAGGTGACCTATTCCCAAGGAGCGTATTTATTCCATTATATCTCTGAAGATTTTCTTGTTTATATGTGCATTACCGACGACGTAAGTAACAGAATTTATATGTAAGTTAAATTTATGTCAAAGCATGACTCTGTTTGATGTAGTTGTAAAGTTCTTGTTTTTTTGGATACTAGACATTAGTAGAATAATGATACGTTTAAAAGTATACTCTAACGGGTATGTGCCCAACAATTACAGTAGTATTTTTTATTATTTAAGCGTTGTGCCGAAGTTCTATAGGTATTGTTTTTCCAGGACTTTCAAAGATCTAGAGCTTTTCTATATCTGAATGAGATTAAAAGGAGGTTCCAGGCATCTTATGGTCACAGTGCTCAAAATGCCATGGCATATGCAATGAATATTGAATTTTCAAGGGTGTTGGCAAATGAAATGGTATATATGCAGATAAGCATAAACGAAATTGCAAACTGTTGAGAGATAATTTGCTCGTTAACGTTTGGCTCTACACTTTTCGTTGGAAACAATCCTTACAGGGGGATAATATGTAACCTCTAACGATTAGTTGCACTTAACAATTACACTTTGGGATATTAATTTTAGGTTTATTTTCAGAAACATTATAGCGAATCAAAAGAATTGGATACATTATCGAAGGTACACGGGGAATTCGATGAGCTTAAGGATATAATGGTGAAAAATATTGATAATATTGCTATGCGTGGCGAACGTTTGGAACTTTTGGTGAACAAGACAGAAAACTTGACCGCTAATGTATGTCATTGTATGGAATTAGAACATTATGTGTTTGGTACATTATTTCAGCATAATAATTGTTTTCAGTCCGTCACCTTCAGAAAGACTAGCAGAAATTTGGCACGTTCTCTATTTTGGAAGAATGTCAAGCTTTACGTGATCATAGGCTTTGTTTTAACCGTAAGCAATGATTTTTTCAAACTAACGGTAATATCCAAAAGAATACGATCGGCGGACAAAAATATTTGAATGCACTTTTAGGTCGTTGTTTATATAATTGTGTCAATATCCTGTGGTGGTTTATTGTGGCAAAGCTGTTTTGGCAATTGAACGAAGGCAAAGACAGGCTTGAAAATACCGACGATTCGAGTCTCCGAATCGAGATGGTAAATGCTGCTAATTTCATGGGAACTGACGCTTTAATATGAGAAAAATTTACCAATATAGTTAAGTTTATTAAGAAACACCACTCAGGGTTCTTTGAATGATCATTGTTTGCAAAGACTACATCCGATTACGATGGGAGAAGGAATGTCGTAAACGCAGCACATTACATGGAATAACGTTATCACAGGCCACGGGGTGAAAAGTATAAATATCTTAAAGTAAACCTAATCTGCGAATATCTATTCTAATAGATCTTCGTCTAGAGAATACGATCGAATTAGCATTAAAAAGAATTTACAATCGATTGTACTCATTGTACACAATACCATGCTATACGACTGTCACGCGATTGGATATTTTCATAATTCTTTATATACCTTATGTCATTATAATGCCTGTATCCTCACGTGATAATCGATATATGTATATAAAAAAAAAATCGTTAATCCTTAGTATCTAGAACATTTAATAAAGCAATCTGACAATTTGTGTTATTCAATTAAAATCCTTAATTGGGTACCGTCTGAAAATTTAGAGATACATTCGAATAATGGCCGATAAATCATAAGAGCATCATAAATCGGAGAACAATTTTGGACAGCGACCGAACCCGTCCGTGTTCTCAAATGTCATTGACGCTTTTCCTGGTTACTTCCTGGCCAGGGAAAGAAAAGGAAAGCTACGGAACTTTTCCCGGCGAGGCGTCGAAAGAAATGGGCGCGTCATTTCCCGCGTTCATCGAACCGAAGAGCGCGAGTCGCGGCAAAGCATGAACGAGTCTCGGAAGCTGCCGCATGGGTCGAGGACGTAGTACTCACGGGTGCGCAGTAGAGTGCCGGCGCATGAATCAGGCGAGGGCGGGGGCGGGGGCGGGGGCGGCGCGCGGCGTCGACGCCGCGCCGCCCGGGCCATTCGAGCTGCGCCCGCGGTACGCACGTCGATGCCTCGCTCGGAGCGCCCTTCGAGGGTAGAGCGTCGGGTAGAGGTCTACGCGTCTCGCCGCCGGGCGATTGATCTCGCACCTCTCGCGGGATCTGCGTCCCCGCTCGACGAGTTCGGCTCCGGTCCGCGGGCGTGCCAAAGACGCGCGTCGTGCGCGCCCGGGCTCTAGCATGGACGCGCGGGTCCGCGTGCGCCCGAGCTCGAGACGCCGCGGTCCTCTTCTCGCCGGTACCCAGCCCGCAGCCACGTCGCTCTGCCGCCACCGCCGCCGCCGCTGCAGCGCGTCCCTTCGGTCCGAGAGAGAGAGAGAGAGAGCCGAGCGCGCGTGGGTGTGTTTACGGGACGCGCCGGTCGGTCTAGGACGACTCGGCGTCGCGGCGGTCGCCCGATGACTCGCGCTGTGCCGCGACGCGCGGCCGCCCCCGGTCCGGTTTCGAGCCGGGTCTCGCGTTCGTGGGGGAGTGGGGCCGCTCCAGGGTTGCGTCTGCTCCGAGGCCGAGGGAGCGACGCGAGAACGGGAATGGACTAACCGCCCGCGCCATCACCGAGGATTCAACCTGCTCTGGGAAATACGGGGACGCTCTCTTTTTGATATCGGGACGTATTCGCGAACCGCGGCAGGGTGACCGTGAACGTATGTGCCGTTTGTAGTTCGATGCAAGTACCGAAGGGTACTCTTGGGAAGTCGAACATACGAGTCAATTCTTTCAACGCTTTGCCCGACGTGCGGAGATTTTCAAAAGGTTTCCGATTTAAGGTTGCACCGTCAACGTGACTTCGGATCTCGTCTCACGAAGCGAGACTGGACGGAAGCGTCGTTCAATTTCATGGGCGCGGAGTAATTTTTTCAAAGGGTGGAGGTTTTGACGTCAAAGCGTATTTACGCAACCGTGGTATCCTTTAGGTCGAGCGCGATGGAGTTTTGAAACGGAAAAGCGCGGATCCCATTTAACCGATTAAAGCGACAAATTGGATCACGTCGATCAGGGAAAGTTAAGTGTAAAGAGGGATCGACGATGATTTGCCGAATTCGAACGATATTCGTACGTTGGGGTCGGCGGGTCAATAATACGATGGCGTTTGTACCGTATCGATGATGGTCACGGCACCGATGATCGACGTCCAAGGCATGGTCGAATCTAAAATATCCACAATAGGAATAGTCCGACCGGTACCGGTGGTACGGTTAACATATTCCGTTAAATAACGCGAATCGAAAGAAAAAAATTTGAATTCGTGACAGGCCGTTGCTTCCATTTACGAGGTTCGATACACGCAAACGTTTCGTAATTACGCAAATGTATCGAAATCGCGGTAGAGAGGTAAGCAAAGGAGATAAGAAAGGTTGGATGGTTAGCGCTCCGCGATTCATTTACGAGTCACGGAATCGGTGAGTTATTTCCTTAATCAATTGTCACAAGGGTCAGAGATGACAGCGTCGAACTCTTCCTCGAACGCATACATGGAAAGGGAAGAAGAATACGGACGAATATCGAGGTCGACAACCGGATACCGTAGAGTCGGATAGAGGGGCGGTTATTTCGCGGAGCTCGTTGGACTCGCGTAAATTCAACTACGGCGAATCGATAGCGATAGACCTCTTCCAATGAAAACTTTTGGACAGATTTGGAATTATCGGAGTCGTTGAAAGGCTGCCACCCTAACGAATCCATGGGCAACCGGAGATAGAAGCGACACGCAGAGGTTGCTTCGAGCCGGCCTCGGAGGGCGGCATCTCGGGTGGGTGGAGTCGCCGGACCGTGTAACGAGCGCGACTACTTTCCGTCCCTCGTCGGTCCGCGCGAGCGTTCCGCATCTCCCGTAGCGGAGGATCCGTCGCACAAAAGGCAATTGTCGCCCCCATCATCCCCCCGAAGACTCGCCGACGTGTTCGGGGACACCCTCTTTAGGAGTCTCCCCCGAAGGTACGGGGTTCCCGTGAGAGAGGGTCGCGCGACGCACGGAAGAGGGTGCCACCCCGATACCAGGGGTGGACACGGCGAGACGGAGAGAGGGAGACGCGTAGAGTCCCGGGACGGAGGAGAGAGACGGCGGAGAAGGACGGACCGATAAGATGGGCGAGAGCTCTCCTGACCTCAGCCTCGGGCTCCGCCGGGGCAGTTCCGACTCCAGGGACTCCTTCTACATGGACTTTGCTCAGGTACGCGCCTATTCCGCACCGATTCCGCGTCGCTCGCCCGTCAAGGAGGCGTCCTCGCATTCGGGGGCGAGTCCCATCGCGCGGAACGCCCGATTCGTGATTCCAGAGAGAAATAGTCGTCATCTCGGTAGCACGACTTTTACCCTCATCTTGCGGAAGGCTTTGCGGAAAATATGCCACACGGGGAAACCCGTTTCCCTTAAGATGCAAACGGGCCCGCATATTCTTCCCTTTCGAACGTACGAACTCTCATTCAAGATTTCCGTTTCGAAGACCGGTAGAACTCGTTTCCAACCCGAAGCGATCAAATCGCGAGTTATCGGTCCAATCGCGTCGGCAATCGAAACGTTCCCGTGGTACCCCGCGTAGACGAGGCTGAACGCGACGAATTCTAACGACCCTCGCCCCCCGTCTCAGGGCATAGACTCGGACATCGAGGAGGTCACGAGACTCGCCGACGACTCGGACCCCGCCGCCGAGAACCCCGACGAGAAGGTAGGCAGCTCGCTGCCTCCGATAGAGGACATCACGACGATCCCCGAGGAGGCCTCGGAGGAGCTGCGGGAGGAGGAGCGAGAGGAGGAGAGAGAGAAGCAGCCCGCTGCGAACGTCGAGTCGGAGTGAGTACGGGGGTGGGGGAGGGGGGCGCGGTGATTAGTCGGTGCGTCGCGCGACGCACCGGTCAGTCTGTGCGATGCGGGCTGGAAGCGAGACACGCCGCGCGACGGAGGGCCGGTGATCGCCCTGTCCGTCGACCAGCCAGCAGTTCGCCGCCGGCCGGGAGCTGCTCCCCTTCCCGAGGAAAACGATCGGTCCGCGCGATGCTCATCAAGGAAACGTCTCTCAGGTAGCGCGGCCTTTCCCGGAGGGCGACGGCGCGTAAGTCGCGGGGATGTCGACCCTGAGGTCGCTCCGGCTCCGACCGCTCTCGAGTACCGGCGCGTTCGCTCCGATCGCTTCGAGGGGAAAGTCCGGGATACCAGCGCGATATAAGGGCCGTCCGTCGATGTAGCTTCTCGAATTATCTAGACCCAAGGACGCGCCCGCGATCGCTGACGCCATTATTAGTTGGCAACTCTCCTCTCCGATTGGGTTCGTTAATCCTGAGTAATAAAGTAGGGAGCTTAAATCATTTCCGTTAGGCACAGCTTCCGAATGCTTGACCAGAGAAACCACGGCGAAATCATCACGTCATTCCCCGCTCTTGGATGGTAAAACGTGACATTGATTCGTTATTTACGTAAGAATCGACAATACCCTTTCCAAACGTCGCTCTTTTCGGTGGAGGGCACCGACATTCGAGACGACGTTCCGTCTTTCGAGTTGTCGCCTCTTAACGTCGTTACGACGTTGGTCCCCCAGGAACCCTATTCGAAACGGCGGTTAGAGCGGAAGCGCGACATCCTTTCGCACGCAGTCGGCTTGCTATATACTGTTCGATATCGTGCAAATGCCCCGCCACCCCGTTTCGACATCGTACGCGAGTCAAACGAAACTTACGATTCGGTTTATCTTGCGGTTTTCGGAGACCATGCATGTAGAAATATGCTAGACGCACCACAATCGATATCGGAAATCTTCGTTTTCGTCTAGGACACCTTGATCGTGACCGGAACCTGTTTTTCCAGAACGTATTGGACGGTTAACGATGAAAGTTGATTAAATATCTCTATTTATCTTACGAACGGAAATCTTGAACAAGACTTACACGTGTTTCAATTATTCGTCGTTAAGTTAATATTTGTTTTGTACACAGAAAAATACTACGAAATACTACAAAACTACAAAAGAGATGGAAAAACACGTTTCGTAAATTATTTGGAAGATTCGACGATGTTGTTTTATTAAGTAGAAATGTTTGAAAAGGTACCAATCAAAATAATAACGATACGTATCATTGATATGAAAAGTGCTATCGCGTATCGCTCGGTTTGGTGCGGAAATTAGAGGAGAAAAAAATGAATCAGCGGAGGAGAGTTAGCCAGCGGAAAAGAAGGATCGCTGCCGATCCGAAGTAAAGGGTGAAAACGAGAGGGTCGGGGATACGTTCGCTCTGCATGGCGAGCCATCGCCACTTAGCCATTGAATGGGCTGTCCTTCTCCTCGGTCCTGACTCCCTCTAAAACTACGTGATTATTTGAAAAAGCTCGATTCCCGATCTTCCACTCTCGTCGGCCCCCGAACGGAGGAATGGTCAGGTCCGAGCGAGGACGCGTTTCCGAAATCGGCCAAGGGCCTTCCGGCGAGTCGCAATTCGAGTCTACCTTCGTATCCAGCTTCCTTTCGATCGTTAGAATTTGCTTGCCACCTATATTTTCGTAGTCATCTTCGGAATCATTTGGACAAAACTGCCTCTGGATAAAAGCCGGCTCGTGGTCGGCGAGAATCAGCTCGGAGGATGTTAAGAGGATAAGTTATGACAGCTATTAGATAAACGGTAGCGTTAGAAAGTCATCGCTACGTCACCTAATGACGCTCCCAAAGTCATTCGCTCTAGTGGGTCTCTTCCTGCAGCCAGTGTCAACGCGACGCGCGGAGTTCTAACGCGCGGCTGACCTTAAATTAAGCCGACGAGCGGTCGACGTTCTTTCGGAGTATTTCCCTAGTCTCAAACGCAAAGTACGATCGTCACATCGAAATCGTCTCGCCTACCACGCCGCCTCAGAGCAGGAGGTCGAAGTAGGTGGTCGAACCGTAAGAGTGAACTCGGTAGCGGCGACGAGCGCGCAAAGTAATCCATCGCCGTCCACAGCTGGCCAGGACTGCCGGCCGCGGCGCCGACACCAGCGCCCCCGTCGGCGGTGATCGTCTCCCCGGAGAGTCTGTCCAGGCACAGCAGCGGCTCGCCCTCCCGCACCCACCGGCCGGCCCAGTTCGCCCTGGCGCTGCCCTGCGCCGCGCACCCCGTGCCCGCGGTCTGCTACCCCGCTCCGGTCTACCTGGAGGTCGCCGAAGATCGCAACTGGAAGAAACTCGGAGCGTGAGTTCACTTTCCCGCCGTTCCTTTTTCCTTTCGAGGATCGGGAGTGCCGGCGCGTTCGAGTTCGGAGGGTGGGCTCCTCGGAGCGGAGCCGTCGCGTGGCGGATGCAGTGCACGGAAACTTCACGTGATCCTCTATCCGTCATTTAGGTCCGGCGTGTGTCGTCGCAAAACGCGACGTGCAATTACTGTCACTTTATAAATCAAACACGCGTGTATAGACGTCGGGGCGATTACGCGTAATTGAGCCAATTCTTTCTCGGGAAGATATTGAAACGGCGCTCCGTCTGTCCTGTGACGTTCCATGAGGATTTTCCCGTCGTCCTGGGTGCCATAGGTATTGGCGTTTTGGGACGCGTGGAACGCGCGATTGCGAATTAAATGAAAAACGATGCCTGAATGTTATTTAGCGATGCCTTGGCAACGACTCTGAGTGCTCTTTATGGCAAATTACTGGTCGTCATGGGTATAGCTTTCCCAATGGCCGAGGTCATATCCACTTACATCCCGCCGTCGTTCTACGAGGCTTTCTACCTTTACCTCTACTTTGGAAGCATGGCCTTTCTTCTGTACATGTACGCCATGCTGTTTAAGGATCGCAAACCCAAGCAAAGTAAGTTACAAGGAACTAACTCGGGAACGGTGCGGTATCGGCCAAGACGTACCTTTATAGCGGATAAAATCATGCAAGACCGATTACACCATGTTGCATCCTCTTAGCGAGATGGTCGAGCGTCTTCTCTTCCTCTTAGAGAATGCGATAACGCCCTCGTCGCGTCTTCACTTTGGTCTCGACACGACCATTGTGGCCACGGAGGTTTATCCGACTGATCGAGATCCTTGTAATTCCGCAGAGAAACAAAGAGACGTTTGCGATCTGGACTCTTCGAGATCTTCTAGCGGAGCGGGGGCCGACAGCGATTTGCAAGAGAGCGGGTGTCCGGACATGACGACGGCGCGTCCAGCCCAGCATTACGGCAGCTTTTACCTTCGAATGGGAGCGGTCGCTTTCGGGATCGGCTCTATGATTTATTCCGGCCTCGAGTTCGGCCAGTACTTCGAGTTGGAACGAAACACCAAGTGCCACAACGTTCTGTTGGCTCTGACCCCAGCTACGCGCATGGCATTCATCTTCATTCAAATGTACTTCATCTTTTTAAACAACGAGGTGAGTTCGAGGTGGTCCAAGCGGACACCTCCGTTAAGCCCCTCTGTACCCATACGGTACTGGTAAGCGATGCTAATGTGAGAGAAAGGACGTTTAAAAATGATCGGGGAAATTGTAGACACGGTTCACCGTCGTCTTCCGACGTTCGATGCCGTGTACCATGTAACCGTGACTTCCTCGACTATCGTTTTTCCCAATTGTTTCCAGCAAATGAAAGTCTACCGTCATCGTGTCGTCGCGAGATTCGGACTCATGCATATGATCGGAACGAATCTATCGGTGTGGTTGAACGTTCTGGTACAAGAAACGAAGCATGAAATCCTTACGTTCTACAATCCGGAAAATAATACTTTGAGAATCTCACACAGATTGGGTAAGTAACGTGGCCTTTATAGAAATACATTTCGGGAAACGGGTTAAACAAAGGAAAATAACATCAATTGTAATAAAACTATTACTCAAGATGATACTCGATCGATTTCAGGTTCAAAAGGAGCTCACCTGAACGTGCACACCCATACTCATCATGGCGAACACGCGAGGGTTCCTCGGGGTCTCAAGGGACCTCACCACATGTACGAGTGCAGAAGGACCAACATCATGGGTTCCCTAGTGCAGGATGCGAGTCCTTTTTTGTTCCCCTGTACGATCGAGTACAGCCTTATATGTGCCGCCATCTTGTACGTCATGTGGAAAAACATATCGAAACTTGGTTTCTTTCAACCTACGACACCTCCTGGCTCCCATCACCACGCACACGCGTACAGGCAAGTCATCGGTTCTTTCTTCAAGTTATCGGTGCCCGTTCCATCGATTTTTAAACTCCGACAAAAAGTCAAAGCGCAATGCTAAACTCAATGAACCGACGGTTACAGTCCTTCGGGGAAGAATCTACGTAAAATATAGATAACCAATTAGGTCCAAATCGTGCCTTAGGTATCGGTACGGATCTATCAAGAATGTCTAAGCCACCACGTGCAAACTTTGCGGGCATTTAAAATAGGCCTAGACTCGTACAAGTAGATAGCCTAGACCAACCTTTGTTAATTCGCAGGAGGTCGCCTCACCACTACAGCGTGGATTGCGCTCGGGCACACAAGGGTCTCTTTGTGGGCATTCTGATCTTGGTGCTGACCATAATCTCCTTGATCCTGTTTTTCGTCCTCATATCGCGTCCGGAATTGGTGAGCCTCGCGGTAACCGAGGTGAACGTCTGCGAGCTCACGCTGTACGGGATGTCCACTCTGGCGACTTTGATCGGGATGTTCCAAATGCGCAAGCTGAGATACGACGGCGGCCGGAATCTGGAGCTGGACAATATCCTGCTGGTAGCGGCTCAGACGGGCATGTTCATCTATTCCACTTTTACGATAATCGGTGGCCACTTTACGCTCGAGAAGCACACGGTACTGGTGCTGGTCACCGCCCTGGCCAGCGTCATCCAAACCACCTGTCAGACCATCTTCATCCTGGACTCCTCCAGAAGATCCGTAGCCACGTCCGAGCAAATCCGTCGAAAGCCCGGCCGGGAGATCGTTACTTTCCTGTTGGTGACGAATCTCGCGATGTGGGCGATCAACACGCTGGAGAAATCGAGGGCGGAGTCGCACCCCGTGCAGCTGCACTTCTACGGTCTCTGGGCTTGGACCATCATCACTCACGTCTCCATGCCCCTGGCCATATTCTACAGGTTCCACAGCACGGTTTGCCTGTGCGAGGTGTGGAAGCGAGCGTATAAGGTCAAACCTACTTACATGTGACGCAAGGGGACGGAGGACGCTTGGAAGTGCGTCGGCGCGGCACAGCGGCCCAAGAACCTCCCGATCAAGCTGGACGCCGTCGCCGAAAACGACCCCGCATACTTTATCTGATTCCTCGCGGTCCTCTGCTGACTCTAGATTCTCGCGAACGGTGAGACTCGGCTCCGCCTCGATTCGGTCGCGTTGCCAAAGAAACGACCGGCTAGCGGGGGACGCGGGGGACGCGGTGGCCACCGGTGCCACCCGCTTCCGCTTGTACCCGGGGAACGGAAATGGGCTCGTTGTGCCAATTGCCACGTGAAACATCCTGCAAGTGCCGTTTGCAAAGTAATGTCAGAAAAGTTAATCGTTTGCTGGTCACGGACCAACGATTTCGTGGCGCTCTTCTACCTTACCTAATTATTTGCACGACACAATCGTCTTCCATGTTATAAAGTACGTATACTTGGAGTCAATCAAACCGAGAATTATCGAGGAATAGAAGGATGTAAATGACTCGTTTATCCATTATCGCCCGGCATACGGACTCGCAGGATCATACCTATTAAGGCCCAATTGAGTCGTACAAATTGTTGCTCGCACGCGTGCCCACGTCGTCGCGTTTAGTAGGGTCGATCGTTCCCCTAGGATCGATACGAAGGAGAACGGTAGTTTCGGTGGGGAAAAAAAGGAGCTCCGAGAATGGGCCTGAAAAGGGAATATGGTACAACGGAGATCATATCAAAAAGCCTCTTTGAAATGACGTTGAGGAACGAATTGTTCCGTAATTGGGATTCTCTCACCGATTGCGTACCGACATAGGAATACCATGCGAAGAGGTAAATGGAGCGGGAGGGTTACGATGGCAGGAAAACGTGCCAACTTCATGCGGAAAACGCGAATCTGCTTATTCGTATAATGCATCTAAGCAGGTTTTCCTTCTCGACAAATAGCGAAAGTGCGATCATTTTCGTCGATAATTTTGATTGGACGTACCACAGAGATAGTAACGTACACGTACGTTCCGCGAGTAGAGCGTGTTGTTAACCCGCGGTTCTTTTAATGTCCTCGTTGACGTAAATATCGCGACATGTAACGAGACCTCCGTTGAATTTACTTCAAACTCGTTCGATCGTAATCGATGCCAGTTCTAATGCAATTCGTGCGCGAGGCATCATGCTCAATTGACCAGGACTCGAATTGTCGTATCATCCGCGTTTAGTTGTACAGTTACATGCATTAGTATTTTAGAGATGTCGGTGGACATTGTATACCTATTGAAAGAGTAAATTGGAACTGTATCACATTTCATAGCTTAGATAGTAGGGCCCATTCACGACAAATATAAAAACATTCAGAACGTGCGATTGCTTCTGCAAGACTTAACGTTATACCGAACGAGTTACAAGGACAAAAATGAACAATTAAGAAGGTGACGTTTAAGTTCACTTTCCTGGACGCACAATAACATGCAAATAGAAATTCGAGTCTTAATATAGGTATATTTTTGGGAAACTGTACAATTTACTGTCATCCGCGTAATCGAATCGTGCAAATGTTATCTATTTAGGGGGCATTCTAAAATGTGACTGAGCTCTTCGTTATAAGTGTGAAACATTAAGACGCATCCTACACTGATACCTTTAAATCTCATGTGCGTGGGAACAGACCTGAAACTTGATCATTTGGATTTGAGGAGTCGAAAATAATTTAAGAGATACATCTGGGCTTTTTTAAGAGAATTTCTTACACGCGTCTCGTGTTTTAATTCTCCATTATGGTTTTTCAGGATATCCTGTAGTTGACCTTAACCTGTTAACTGCGGACCTCACTGTAACGTTATGGTTTACCGACGTGTATATACGACGAACGCAGTTAACACCGGTTAATAGCGGAAGTTAGAAAAGTTAAGAATGATTTCGAGGTTTGGAACTTCTTGATATAAAGTTTAACGATTTTGTCAATCTTAATCTTCCTGATTATTTCTTTTACCTGTATCGTCTTTTAAATCTACACAATTCTCTGTCTTCTTATTTAGTATTGTTCCGAGGATCGATTACCAAAGTCTTCAGTTTGGAATACCGCCGCCGTATCGCATTTAAGTCCGTTAATTCTTCGTTACCACTCCCGTAAAAGAATGCATGGCAGAGGAGCAGAAAAAAATTGAGATTAAAGAGGATAAATGAGAATATCGGTTAGACAGAGTGACAGGGTAACCAAAATAAGTAAATTGGTGCAGAGACGACCAAATAAATAATGATCCTTTCACATTTGCTTTAGGCAATCATACGACACCGACGTTTAACCGACCGTTAATTGACGACTGGTTTCAGTGGATGTAAAATATAGTTGACTAGTTTAAGGCAAAAGTGTACATACGAAAAGATTCTCTCGATGTTTAGACTAGACATGTCGACAATGTTTCTTCCTATTTATATACATACAAACATATATATATATATATATAAACATATAAAAATATATATTTATTATTGCGTTGTTCTATTGTAATATTTATTACGATATTAGAAATAGGACCTTACGCGCGCCGTGTTACTATTGATCCAGAGGGGCCCCGTCAAAAATCGGATCGTACGAGTACAAGAAACGCTGTCTGTAGGTATTAAGATCAAGTCGATACGCGATTAAATTCTATCCCTTCTATTCTCTTAATTGACATTATTTAAATTAAAGGGAACTAATGATCAAACAACTCGAGTACTCAACGAGTCTCGTGAAAATACCGCAGGTTCTTTTTCGAAAGATTTTCCACAATTCGATCACGCTCGAAACGAGGAAAATCATATTGTTTTCTAACAAGAACGAGCATTTCTGCTTTCAGAATTGGACACGAATAGCTTTTGTCATCCACTGCTTGCGTTATCGGGTCCTCCTGACAAATTTCGAAAGTTTCGCACTTAGACCTCTTTTGTACCCTCGATTCGATGTTAACCCTCTGATGACTACTATGCCTTGAAGTATAGAATTACCGGCAATACGATCCGTTACCATTAAGAGTGAGACTTCTTTCGATCGTCGACGTTTCATCTTCCCGTCCTCTTGTAACTCTTATAGGAAATGTATTAGTCAAGAATAGTGGGTCAACGAATGAGTTAAGACGCATCGCCCCTCTGAAAATTAGAAAAATGTCGAGGAGAAGCATTGCGTGCGATGGAATTTGCCAAAGTCGAAGCCGCGCCACATCTCTAAGCTATACCTTTTTCTATGTCCGCATACTCTAGTTCCTAACGCAACGTTTGTACTCTTATACCCTTTGTACTGTTTGTACCTTACGAAACGCAATACACACGTCCGCAATAATCGAAGTTCCCCTTATTCCGTGACATCGGTAAAATGTGATGCCGTTAAACGAAAGCCGAAATCGCCGATTCTGTCTTAACGAGCACGACGAGACCGTTATCGACGGTTTCCTTTTCGACTTAGAGGCCAACCGCGATATTAATAACCACGAAAGGAACGATCAATTAAGTCAAAGATTTTGAATAATGCATGCGACTGGCAGTTAATACTCCAAGCCAAGAACGAACGTTAAATATAGCGACTGACCGCGGCCATCGAGTCGGTGACCCAGATAACTCTTTATTCTTTCTCTCCCTCGTTTTCGTTCTTCCGGGGAACCTTCGAAAGGCGGGACCTTCTCGGCATCGAAGGCCGACCGGTCGACAATCTTGATTGCAATTTAACGAAACGGAAAATCGACCTCTGTAAGGCTCCTTCATTTAGCGAGAAGATCGTTCCGGACGTCTCTAAGAGTTCGTCTCCGCGATTGGGATTTAACATGGAGCCGCTTTAGGGCGCAGGTGGGATTCACGAACGCGCGGGGTAGGGGGTCTTTTGCGACGAATCGTATTCATTTCGACGGCGATTCTCGCTTCCTAAGATCATTCCGAGGCGGAAAGACCGCGGGAGCGGTCGAGTGCGAGGGTTTCCTCCGCCGGAACGAAGACGCTCCTCGAGTCGTTCGACCAAAGAGGGAGCCCCGCGTTGCCATTAATTTATGGCAACGCCGCTTCGAAGTAGGTGCCGCTGGACCGACCTCGCCGTCCGCTCAGTCACGAGGAAATGCCGCGAGGAAGTGGTCGCGACGCGGGCCGGGGACAGTCCGAGGACAGTCCGAGGACAGCCCGGGGCAGCGGCCCCCTCGGCCGGAGTCAGGGGTGGCGTATTGATCGCGCGTTCCCCCGGTTGCACGGGGTCGGCGGGCCGGCCCCCATGGCGGCCCATGGTGGGTCGCGGCGGCCACGCGCACGCGTCGGCCGTTCGCCTTGTTTACATCGAGGGGTCGCGCGCTCGTTCGCCCGCACGCACACGCGATCGCGGCCAGCGAGGGCCGAGACGCGCGCTTTCCTTCCGGGAGTGTCGGTCCGATCGCGCACGAGTACTCACGAGTACTCGCTCCTTCGCGCGCCCTTGCGCGACCCTTCGGGTCACCGCTCCGACCCGGCCACCGACTCGGCCACCGACCCGGCTACCGACCCGGCTACCGACCCGGTTTCCGATCCGGTCTCGGACGGCGCCGTCGTCTGACGGCTCGTCCGCGCGCGCGCAAGCGCCTGGACGCCGCGGCGTCCCGGCATGGAGCGACCCAACGGAGGATCGACGGACGCCCGGACTTGACTTCTCCGCCGTTCCCACGAAGTAAGTCCATCGTCAGATCCCCGGCACTCCGAAGCATGCGTTCCGGCGTAGCAGATTTGCTCTCCGACCGGCGAATCGAGATTCCGTTTTTATTCCGCTTTTGACGTCTCTTGCGTGCGAACGCGAACGTTCTAGGTTTGGTATTGGCGCGTTTACGCCCGACGCGTTCGTTTTGTGCGTTTTTCGTTTCAAGCGGGATGATCGTTACGAGTCCCTCGCAGGTACAGGCAGTGACGGCCGATTTTCGAGTACTTTTTGAGCCCGGAACGTTCCGGCATCCCTAGCGGGAAAAAATTGAAAAAATTGGGAAATACGGTTGCATTATACGCACGAGTTTGCTAAATTTAACGTTAACCGGAGAATCGAATACGCGAACCGTCCAGCCTTACAGCAATCTTCCTTCGCGAAGTACGAATGGAATTTTATTACATGTAACGGTCGATCGACGAGCGTACCAAAGTTAACGGTGGGATGTAATCGTCGTACTTAGAAACGCGACAACAACCGAGAGAAGAACGACTCGAAATAGCGCAAAGTTCGACACGTGGTCGTGGTCCAATAGAGGGGAGTAGGGGTTAAAGTGGATTCGCGGGACCGTGGGAGTATTCGCGCGTGCGGCTCGAAGAGTCGAGGAAGTAGCCGCGGAGGGGACTTCGGAAAGATCCTTGGCGAACGGTCGAGACCAACTTTAGGCGCTCCGCGTCATCGTTGACTCCCTTCTCGCTGGGTATCTCGTTCGTCGAGGTTCGAGGCGCGGGAGGGAGTCGTTCTACGGGCGTTCGGTCAGGTGCAGGCATCGACCACTTTTGCTCCGCGACGATACCCGGAGCCGCAGCACAACTTTTGCACTTTGGACGCACCTGTGGACGGAGAGGGCCTCCTTCCGCCATCTGGAAAGATATTATCGGAACGGATAGTTCGTAGGGAGAGAAATCGCTCGCTGTTATTGCTTCCTGCTCGGGAAGCGTCGGTAAAAGGCTCATCGTTCGTTGGGGTTCTTTAATCTTGGAAAGCGGAAACGGTCAACGAATCGGTTTCCAAAGGGAGGCGGGGAACCCAAGAGCTGAGACTTTAATGCTCGTTTGCGTGCATGGGACAGTTTTTTTTAAAACGCTTAGTCCTCGTGTGTCTCGAATTTGCTTCCTTGGAAGGAATTACCGTCGCCAAGTACAGAATTTTTGGATTGGTTGTCGGTCCCTTCCTGCCTAGGGATATTTTCTTCCTCCTTTTTTTCTCTGATTACGATAATAGAGCGTTCCATTAAAATCGTTACGATCGAAGCCCGTTGAACCGTTAGATAATGGATGCACTCGAAATTGAGTAAACGCACGTGAAAACGAAAGTGGCAACGCGATCAAATGACGTTTTTGCTCTCGCATTTGAGAGCCTGCCGATTCGGCTGTCGTGGCAACCGCGGCGGCAACCTCGCCGAAGGGCTCGCCGCGTTCGCCATGGTTACCACGTCTCGACGCATTCTTTGGTGCTGCAGTCATCGCGACCGCCGACCTCGCTCGGGCCTAAATCGGGCCCCGATCGAGCCTCGATCGGAGAAGGCCGAGGAAGTTCCCGCTCCTTGAAACGGTCGGATCTCCCGAGCGGAAGAGGAGACCGCTTACTCGGCGGCGAGCGGCACCCAAGTCAAGGCCCAGAAACGAGAGTAACTTTTGGCGAACGAGGCCAGATGCCGCGTTCGCCCGCCATCGAGGAATCCGGTTCGGCTCGAGAAGGGGAGTCGGCGCGGTCGTCATGGTTACCTTCGTCGCTACACCCGAATCCAAACGCGGCGCTCTCGTTTTGGCGCCTTCGAACGCGTTGCCGCGCGACCGTTGGCAACTGCCGGCAATTGTCCGAGGAACTCGAGCAAAGGGAGCCGAGGATAGTTCGCGGTGGGAAGCGCTCGACCGCCGACGATTCGACCGCGTCGCGACGGCTCGACTCGATGCCCGAGGAACGTTTCGCGAGATGGGATACTAAAAGATCATTTAAAAAAACGGAAAGCGATCCCCAGGTGATCTCTGAGAGACAAAACGGAAGAAACGCGATTTTTTAATTCGCGTTAAGAATGCAAATGAAGAATAATATTGTTTGAGGCGGTCCGATAGCAGGAGTCAATCGTTTTGTTCGAAAATCCGAGAAACATTCGTGCACGCCCTTAACGAGACTTGGCTGTTGGGGCTTATTCTTTTGTCGGCACGTCACGTGGAAAGCAAGTTTCTTCTTGGTAAGGAGGAGATGAACTAGCTCGCGGAAGCGAAAGGAAACTCAAAGGGTGAATGCCTTGAAGAATTGCCTTCGAAACGCGAAAAGGAGCAAGACGGATGCATTCGTCACGTGCCCCTGTGTCGCGCGAGGAGTTCCGAAACGCGAACGAAACCCCGGAGGGACTTCTGGAGAAACGCCACGAGACCGTCTTCGTCGACCACAAAAGACTTCGGGCGGCTAAGAACGCGTCCAAATCGTGGCGGGGGCATTCGAAAGAGTTAGGAGGATCCGCGATCGAAAGGTTCCACGAAGGTGATCGAAGACGAGTGTGCGTGGTTCGGTCGAGTATCGACTAGAAAAAGTGGTTTTAATTAGAAAAGTGTTAAAGCAAAGGCCGCCAAGTTTCGGGACTGAGCAAAGCGTGGAGGGACATTTATTTCGTTGCCATAACATTTGTAGTACATTATACAAAACGGCGAAACATTGACGCCACCGAAAACCTTTTATTCAGCCTTTCATCCTGAATACTTAAAGCAAAAGAATGTATTCGAGGAGCTATTTAATTGGAGTATTCTTAAGTTAAGACACGCTGTAGAAGGCTTGAAAAGTTGGTGACATACCCAGGTCGGAGGATGGTTCGCACGGTCGCGCAGTATCGATCGAGATTATCGAGATTTTTTGCTAAAACCCACCGAGACCTCGAACGCTCGAAGCGGAGAGAAAGCATGGCGAGGGAATCTCGACGGAGAACTTGAAGCGACCAACGCGACGCGTCGACCGCGGTCACGACTATTCGCGCGCGAGAAGCCGACCGCTGCGTTACCACCGTCGCGACGTCGGCCGGACTTTGGATCGAGAGTCGCGAAAAGGTTCATTAATTCGGATCGCGTTCAAATCCCGCCGCTACGTAAACGCTCGTTCGCGTGAGAACCGATGCTCGAAATGTGTCGCTCCTGGAGGAGCTAAACAGTGGTACTTTATTCCGGTGTTTACCCTTGCGCGAAGATTGCGATGGAAAAGAAAGCCGCATAACTTTCAGGGGGCTCCAGTGCCTGCAAGATTTTCTTAACACCATGAAGGTAAAGAACAAACATTTATACCGATAAATTTATGAGTGCATTTTATTTGCTTGGTTAATTTTCTTTCGTTAACGTTAACGTTGAGTGTTTTGGAGTACAACGCATCGATTTCACGCGATCGGGACTCGGTCCGATAGTGGACCCACCAACATCGTCGGGTAACGGAGCACCAGGTGGAGTAAAAGTTAGTTGGCCCTCGAGTTTCGCAGAAATACGTGGGTATCCCGAGAAAAGGCGAGCGGTGAAATCCTTTTTCGAGAAGAGCGACTCCCGAAAAGAGATGCCGCGCGTCCTCGATCATCGAGCGACCCTCCGCGGAGGTCGGTACCCTCGAGTCCGGCCTTCGGAATTCAGAGGTGTTTATTTTGAATTTTCGTTTCGGCCGGGTGGGGGCGATTGGAACTCGGAGAGCGGGTCGATGATGGGCTAGCGACGCCGGCGCCAGGACGCTCACAGGTGGTCGCCACGCAGTCTGCCGGCCACCCTGGTCGGCGCTACTCACCGGCGCTTTTCGAGGTCCCCGACCGACCATCGATTCCGCGGTCGCTTCCGCTTCCGCTTTCGTCCCGTCGCGCAGACGACCCCGGCGCTCCTACCGATCGAATCGCATCTAGTCGCGGCGGGTTCCTCGTTCCGCCGTTCGGCCCGTCCCATTCATCGGCGCCCTCGGCCGAGTTGCGTCGTGGGTTACGTGTTGCTCGACCTAACCTCACCGCGACTCGCAAGGACGAGCCTTCTCGGAAACGACGCGCGCCCGTCCAGGCTCTCTCGGCCCTTCGCCGTGATATCGCCTCGGCACCGAGAGGGAGGCCAGCCACCGGGATTGCTTCGGCTCGGTGAGTTGGACGCCTTCGCCTCGCGTCGGACAGCGACCTTCCGCGCCCGGTTTGGACCGACATGCGTTCTGGCCGGATCGCGTCCGGATCACGTCCGGATGTGCGGCAAATCGTTGACCGATCGGCGGTGCCCTCCCGAGTCGTTTCGATTTCTCGCTCCCGTTCGGAGCGGAAACGGGGCGGAAACGGACGAAACGAACGAAACGGAATGGGGTTATCGGCAATCGCTCCGGATAAGTTAAGAAGTCGAGATGTTCCTAAAACTGCCGCCAGTGCGCGTTTTTTTTGCAGCTACGATTGGGTGGCCTCGGGACTGACGGGTAACGATGACAGCAATTTGCGGTGTATCTCTTGAGTCGAGTGAATTTAAAGCCGGAGAAGGTTCCATGATCCATGAAACTTTCTAAAGAATTTTCCAATTTTCGACGGAAACGATCTTTGCACACGGTTTTCGTCTAACGAACCTAGTGTTCATTTGTTCGCGGATAGCTTCCAAAATCTTACTCAGACCGTTCGAGCGTCATCCTGTCTCTTTCTTTCAGTAAGGGAGTAAGGCGGACGAAGCGATGTGCGAATCACTCCGAGTAAAGTTTTGGAATACGCCTCTTGAATTCGGTGAGTTGAAGGTTTTTCACTAAACTATGCGTGTACACGTGGAATGCGTAAATCCAATTCCGAATATCGTAGTACCTTTGTCGGTTCTTCTTCGGATACACTTTAATCTAATTGTTTCCAACATCATATTTTAACGCGAATACCGAACGAGAAAAACATGCCGACAACCCTGACATGCGGTTTTTTACTAAACGAACGATTGCCAACAGTTTGGGTAAAAAAGTATCATGAAATAATGAACTTATTGCAAAAAGAAACGTTAGTCACAACTTCCGAAATTCGCCAGCATCGCGCGCGGCGCGTCGGTCCTGGATCTCGAATATAGGGACCTCTTTGTAAAGGGAAGTTACGTCTCGCAATACCCGAATGGTGCTTTTGGAAAAACTGAGCGAGTTGCGGAGTACGGCTCGTTCGGAGGGCGCGCGTAAGAGGCTCGAGGCCGAGGCTCGCCAAGGCTTCCATTCATCGAGCGTGCCATGACGATAATCCCTTGTTATTTCTATTGACTCGCGAAGGGGCGCGGATGGGCTCGAGTGCGACGCGACTCGCGTCGCCTATTCGTGGCGACCGAAAACGGACAGGCGTAAACAAAATGCAAGAGAAAGGTTACCGATATTTAACTAACCGTGCCCGTTGAATTTGCATTTACGCCAACTTTCAAAACTCTTCGATGTCAACATGCACGAGTTACGGGCGGAAATGAAAAATTGCGCCCGAGCAAAAATCCCTCAACCGAACGTCCAAGTCTCGACCGTACGTTCTTTTTTAATTCGTATTACAGGTGGTCGAGGGAGTTTAACGAATCGCGTTGGTAAACGTGGGGACGCAAATAGAAGAACTCAGACCCTGGAAGGTTTTTACCGTAGGCAGAGGTTCTCTCTTCGGATACTTGTCCGTAGAGTCGTTAGATTTCCAAGTAATGGATCGAAGATGGCGACACCGTTCCGTTTCGTGCCCCACGGAGAAGGCTCCGAGCGAGCTCTCGGAAGGGCCCGTAGGTACGATCCGTGTGACGTGTCGTTAATCGATCACCGGGTTCCCCTTCGCAGACAATGTAGAAAGCTCAGCCAGCTGAATGGCGGAAGAATAATTTGGTCGTATTTGCCGAGTCGTCGCGTCGAGGTGCCTGCATCGCGTGCAATCGGTCGAGCCTGCTCGTGCGCATGCACGGGGTGTGTCCGAAACACGTGTGGACGACCTTCGGGGCGGTCCTCCGCGTGCATCTTAACGATGGACGGAACAATGACAGACGGTAGGATCGTTCCTCTTCGAGACGTAAGCACTCCATATTACGGAATTTCGCGAATAGAGTTGTGCATGCATACCGGTATCGCCTTCTCGGTCGAGGTACACGATGACTGCCCTCTCAATTTCGTTTCATCTTACAGGACAATGCGACGCGGAATTTCGACGTCTCTTTGCGCTATTTTGGTTACACCGTGGGATCGTTACATATGGGGGATGGGAGGGCGGAATGTACAGGCGACGCGGGCAATTCTCGATCAAAGCTTCGCGGATTTCCGAACGTGCGAACGCTCACGGGATATCGGGGGAGAGGAGCAGCGTCACCCGACGATGGTGGACGGGTCGGTAACCCAGAGATTTACCGCTGGCCGAGGACTCGAGGGAAGCGCGACGTTCTTTTCTACTCCGCGAGGGAGACTCGGCGGCTTGGTTGCGTCGGTAAAGAGCTCGCGATTGAAGTCGCTTTTCCGACTGTTCGACGAACCCTTCATTTCGACTTGACTCTCCGTACGAGTGGCACCAAATCATTGAATCAAATGGAATATCGCAGCCATTTCTATTTCCTGGCAATCATAGGGATGAGATCGGGACTGTTGGATTCAACGTGCGCACGGTTTTTCAAATTCGTGCTCGGACTCGGATGGATTCACCGATCGATGTAGCATCGGGCAGAAGTCCAGCTATTTTAGTAGCATCCCGGGATCAACGACCACGGAACGAGAATACTCGAGGCGACTAAAGGGAAGGTCAGGGTTGGTATACGTCCATCCAACGTGTACGTTTCCTTTTAGCGGCATTTCTTTCGAATGAATGATGTTTTTCGTAGTGACGATAGCATCTTCCAATATTGTACGCAGGTGGAGAATATCGGAGATAAATTATATCGTCCCCGTAAATAAAATGCTACCTAATATTTCAAATGTGATGCGCGATACTCATTGTCAGTTTGTATCGGTGAATTACTTTAGTCATTAATGCCAACAAAGTGGAGTGGTATTGGTTACATGACAGTATTTATAAATAATACTCTTGTCGCATCATCTTGGAGTATCATCACCCTGGCCAAATGGGTGGGACGATTGATCGCGAATGAGTACACCCGTACGAAAAGTCTCATCAGTTTCATCGTGTGAATATTTAGATCAGTTTGCCCGAAGTATCGATTGCTCGACTTTCAGATCGTCACAGGAGCAAGAACCCTGAGGAGATGCAGCGTTGCCCTTACCTTCACGAAATGAAGGAGCGATTGCTCTCCCAGCCTACACCTACCGACAGTTTAGACATGGAGCGGCTAGACGGTGGCACCCCTGTCAAGGAGGCCAACCTGCACAACGATTATCCTGCACACACGAACCCTGGAGTCATTCCCGACCCTCCAGAAATGCCGCCGGATTCTCTTATCGGGACTGTAGTGAAGGTAACCAGTGTTGAAACTTTTCTCGACTTTTCGCTCAATTTCGAATTCCGCCCGGTCGGTCTTGAGATAATCGATTCGGATCGATCATTATACAAATGCACTAGGTAGTTGACTTACGTTACCATGTCATTAGGAAGCATTTCAGGGTTCAGTTTCGTAGTCATTTGACATTAATTATATGATCGAAATTATTTAATCCATATCTTCACATGTTCTTTCATTTTTTAGCTGAATTCCGATGGTTATGGTTCCCACACGTCACCGGCACATGCAAGGCAACCCTTGGTGCCACAAAGTGCGAATAACCAACCCCTGTGTCTTACACCGACACACTCGACGACAGCCAACGGCATGCTGCCGAAAAATGCCAAGTAAGCCCGTATTTGCTTTCCTCCTGCAGTCACATAAGGTTAAGAGCTATTGTCTTCGTTTACATCAATTCATTTAATCACTGATTAAGCGAGAAACGTTCTACAGTGCTGATATCGATGGAACGCTGGACGTCTATAATTGACACGCGAGAAGTTTTTAACCACCGTTGAGAGCAAACTCTTATCGAATACCGACATTATTACGGGATTCTATTTAGTAGGCGCTTGTCGAGAAAAACTAAGGCTGCACGAGATAAAATGGCTAGCAGAGAATGTTCCGCTACCAGAGTTGACCGGTATAAGGGCCGTGCATCTTGATGCTATGGTACCGCTTAGCGCGTCTGCGGGTATTACTCGTCGTCGACGTACAACGAAGCATGTCTCTATAAGTTTTATAAATATTTTGACTTTTTGATATATATATATCACACTTTCATATCACCTTAACTATGTTTAATAGCAAATTCGAACTCAGGTACCTGTTTCTCCCGTCGACTTCGATTAATTTACCGCAATGACGATCATTTGTTCGATGGGGAGAGGGCCGTAAACCCCATCAGTATCCAAACTCTCGGTCCATTATGCTATCTGTACGGTTACATTGCATTGAGTTTATTTTTCTCGTATCTCATCATTTTAAACTATGATCTGGCTGAAATAGCCACATGTTGGATATATTGTACCTGCTTTGGCTCTAAAATATCGAACAGGGGGTCGATGTTGCATCTTTGATAAGAGTGCTCACTTCTCGCATTTTCATCTTACTTGAGTTTATTCACACAATGTTGTATATTCCGAGTGAAGATACGAAATCCTTAAATTGAAAGTATGTTTAAAATGTGTTGTCGAGTAATCTCACGCGAAGTATCTGACATTTTCACTAGATTCGAGTTATAAAATTGCCTTCTATATCTTTAATAAGAATATATAGGAGTTTTACAAAGCAGGATCTCTATTTTTGACTTATCGTTGACAATATTTCGTGACGTATTGCTGATGTAAAAAATATCGGTATAAAACATTGAGAGCAAATGTCACGTCCGATGGACCAAGAGGACACCAACAGGAAAGAAAAAAAGGGTCAGTCGACAGATTTCGTAGTACGATGTAACCGGGTAGACGAATCGAAAATGCGCTCTCCATTCGTATCGGATAGGTTGGAGTTAGGTTGAGAGGAGGTTCAGTCTTACGCGGCTGGTCCATGATTATGGAATTTGGGAGACTACCAGGACGAGTCGACACCGTTCGAGGATTTTGTGCTCGAGAAAGGTCAGTGACCCGACTCAGGGTGGTATCGAGCGGGTCAGTGGGTCGCAGAACCACCGAGCACTCCGCCTCCCCTCCCCTGCACCGTCAGCGCGTACCCTCCCGGTTCCTTCGTATCGACATCATCGCACTCCCACGGGAGTGAGCGCGCAGTGACGAGTCGGTCGGAATCGTCGAAACGGTCCTCCGGGTTGGGTTCGTTCAAATCTTGAAACGTACAACTCCGCGGTCTCCGAATCGAGGGTACTTTTATCACTGGATCATCGAATGTCTTTGTCACGTTTAAAGATATCGCGGAAATGTTCTCTTTCTCCGCGGGTGTCCATATCGGAGGGAGAACGTGGTCGACGATCACAAGTTCCAAGTCCATCGACGTCCACTCAATTTCCGGTTATTGCTAGGGAGGGGTTGAAAAATGAAATTTGCTACCCAGTGGGCATCAGGTGATTCGAATCGGTGAAAACCCGTAATCGATTGGAGTGACTCGAGGCAAGAGTTGCTCCGGGTTCTCCGGCAAGCTGGCAAGAAGAGCCACCGAGAAGCCCGTTGCGCGCCTCCTCGGAGAAAACGGGCGAGCGAGGCGCGACGTTGCATCGCTGCGAGCCAACGCACCACGCCGAGGCAGCAGTGCGCGGGCGCGAGGACGCTCCTGCCCGGGAACCGACCTCCCGGACCAGCCTCAGTCTCCGGGATGCTGGGGGCCGTGATCGCGATTCGACCCCCGTCTCACCGTGCTCCGCCGACGTAGCACCTGTCCCCTTTCTCTCCCTCCGCCTCGCACACTATCTCTCTCTCTCTCTCTCTCTCTCTCTCTCTCTCTCTCTCCCCGTTGTCCTCTCGGCCCGTTTCTCTCGAGCGTTCTCGAGGCATTGCGCCTTAGGTGTGGGGCGGGCTCGGTTGCACACGGCCCTTGGGCCCATAGGGGGTCCGTCGCGGCGAATCGTTCAGCTTTCGCGAAAGGTGCACTCGGAGATAAGAGAAGCCGTGATCGTCGCGAGCATTCCCCGAGGTAGTTCCCGAAAACATCGAGACGAGCGTCCTCGTCGCGATTTACCTGGCCGTTACGCGGGTTGGTGTCGTCGATCGTCAAAGCGAGAGCGCTCCCTCGATCCTCCGGAGTCGATGTGTTCGGTGGACCAAGTGCACGGGTTCAAAGAGTCCTACAGTTGCAAAATACTCGGGTGGGACCGTCGGTCGGAAGGAGGCCGAAACGCGGTCACAAAGCTCTAGTTAGGAATGTTGGTGTCGGGCGATGGCGTTGCTGGTTGAGACAGCGATGGCGACGACGACGACAATGATGACAAACGAAACACGGATTAACACGTTGACTGCCACGGTGGTCACTACTGCAAAGCGGTTGCCGTTCACTGATAACCACTGTGGCAGTCAACGTGTTAACCGATAGAGTTGTGCCCACAAGAGCAGGATACTTTTTTTTTCTCGGTCGGATAGAGAAGGAGGATACACGAAAAAGTGTGTAGATCGTGAACAGTTTCAAATGATGACTTTCGAATGTCGTGTGTGGTGCTAATGTCGAAGATGAAGTCGGGCAGGTTTCTCAAGTGTTAGCAAATGTCGAAAGCTGGCAAGCTGTTCCTTTGTTCGTTGGACGTTTATATTATTTGTTAGAGTCTTCGCGCGAAAACATGCTAAAGTGAGTCACAAACGGTGCCGCTCACTCAGAAACATTCTCCGCGATTTATTAATTTTATGATGCTTAACATTTATTGAGTCGATCATTGTTGTTAATTCCGACAAAGAATCTCAGAAAAAAGTTAATTATAATCAGCGACGACTGTGACAGAATTTTAGATAAAGTCGATAGTTTTTATCGTCTTGCGACGAATTATGTCGGTGAAAAGAATCCTTCCTCAAGATTGTGCGATGTCTTTAAGTGATCGTTCCTTTGTTCCGTGACCGATCGAATCAATACGTTAACCAGTTAATTACGTGTGACGAGTACATACGTGAAATCAAAAGTTTATTTCGGTAAATTTCGTAGTTCACCGGTTAAATGGAATTCTTCAACTTTTATCTTTTGAGTCTGTCAGAATTGCGGCGCACTAATGTTACGTTCACCCAAGTACCACTTGGTACCCGATTTCTCTAGATCGCCAATCAGAACTCGAACATTCGGATCCACCATCTTGTAAATAAAGAGTCACTAAGCACCAGTATAGATCGAATTTATCGAAGTATACACGGAAAGTGATGTGGTAGGCTGCACGGGAGGTTCAACTTGAGTTCTCCAAAATGGCGGACGTTTGGCGACCTCCGTACTCGACGGACCGAGCAGTGGTCTCGGTTTCTTGCTAGAGGAGGGTTCCGGTTTTCGAGGTTCAGCCTCCGGGCAACTTTGCAGGCATCGAGGTGACGCTGGTTAAAGGGTAAATAGCTGCGCCAGGCGATTTCAAGATCATTTCTGGTCCTCCGATCGCAATGGTCGGTGGAGGCGACTGCAAAGTAGCGACCGTGGAGGTCGAAGCCGCGGCCGCTGGCGACAACACGGCGACGCTTCCCGTTACGAGGCCCCTCAATCCGCAGAGTGTCGGATCGCCTCCGAATGCACAGGATAACGCGGAAAAGAACAACGCTGCCAACAAGGAGATGGAGCTCAAGAACGTGCGGTCTACACCCGCGAAAAAGTAAGCCGAAACGTCGATAGCGAGGAAGGGAGAAGCGAGGGTGAAGGTAGGGCGCTCGTAGAAATCCGCCGCGTCCGCACCCAGTTACGCGCGCTTGATAAGGGAGTACACTTTAAATAAAGACAAAGGGGAAACGCGAGATTGGAACTGTGCCTCGGAGCATTTACTTCTAGGTCTTTCGTTTCTTTGCCGCCACTTGACTTTTAAGGTTAAGAGCTTTAAACTGCACCAGCCCTTCGTCAATATTAGCGTTGTAATACCGACTCGTGAAAGCTTACTCTTTTCCCCATGTTTGTAATGAGGGTGTAATAGAATCATCGGTTAACAAGACTATTTACAACGGCTCGATATTATTTTTGTGAGGCGGAGGACGCACGAGTAATATACGATGCAATAGCATCGTATAAAGATTTTCATATAACGTTAATGTTGACGCGTACTAATTTTGAAAGAAAACCGATGTTTCATCGAGCCTTTGCCTGATAGTGCTCGATATGGACTCGTAAGCTTCGTTGCTCTTGGTGTTCTTAAGAAATCTCCGGTTTTCTTGCACTTTGGACTGTTTGTCGGAAAAATGAGTCGAACCACCTTTGGCGTATCGCGGCTGATGGAGAAAACGAAACAGTACTTGGCGCACCTTCGTCGCGAGAAGTCTTCTCGAGTTACCCCGTCGACGTTAACGCGGCCCTGAAACTAAGCCGTTCGTTTCTCCATTGCATTTCTGTTTCCTGGGAGTAAAACAGTCCCGACGCGGCCGTCGCCTGCGACGTGTCACCGCTCCGCGACATCGACACGGCGTCGTAAACGCTCGATTATTTTGGTATTGTGATAGAAAATTGTAGCGATAATCGTGACCAGTATTGGTCAACTATTTCGCGGCGGTCTTTTCGTCGTGTCGGCGCCGCGAGTTGCTGCGTAGGACGGCTCGGATCACCACGGTTACGACTCGCGACATCGTAATTTTTCTTCCACGTAGTTAAAGTGTAATAAAAACGGAACAACTATGCATTGGACCGTGCACGCGGACAAACGAGGGTACAAATGGAAAGTAAATTCTGACTTGGCTTGCGCGGCAATGGATAACTAACAGCCGTGAATACTTTGATGGCTCTAATGTAGAAAGATTTGTTATTTAAGTCCTCGGACGATCGCGATCAGATAACCTGAATTTAATTTCCTAATAATTTAATAAACCGGAAGCCGTACCTTTATTATTATTTTTACACGAGAGAAATACCGCGCGTTTCGGATAAAGTCGGTGCTTCGGAGGCCTAGCTCGACTCCGCCCGAAAGATGTGCATTCGATGACTACTCGGAAAGCTTACGTAGGGTGATATGGGTATCGAAAAAGCTGAACTCGATAAAGCAGGCGTTGGAAAACGGAGAACGCGAAAGTATTTTCGTGCAGATAGGGTCTATTCATTGCTGCTTCGGAAAAGATGGAACGAACCGCGATGAGAGTCGACGATACGAGTAGATTAACCGCGATGCACCTCTCAAGGCAGCCAGAATCGCTGGGGGTTTCAAACGACACGCGGATGAGGGAAAATCGACAAGGCGGGGACCGAGGCAAAATGGCGGGCCGGAGTACGGAGAGCGTTCCGGCGAGCAGGGAGCTGGAAGTGGGTACTCACGGAAGTATCGACCCGGCCGACCGTCCCGGAGCGCGCAGCCGCGCTCGCGAGCGCGCCAGCCGCCGACTCTCCTCCCGGAGACCCGCCGAAAAGGGTCGGCGTTTCCCGGGTTCGGCATCCGGATACGACACGACGCGGCACCCTACGGAAGTGTACGTTTCGTTGGACCGGCCCTTTTCTACCTCTTTGCCAGAAGTCCCGACGACCGCCGCGCTCAGACGAATAGAACCGTTGGACCATCGATCCGTTTCACTAACGCGTGCGAGCCTTGCGGTTCGATCGAGCTTAATTCCCGATTCGAGTTGCTCTCGATCTCAACGCCCTTTGACACCGAAACGAATCCCTCTCCGCGCACTCCTTGCCGAAGGACCGTTCCGAAAAAGCTCTCCGAAAGAGCGGGAGGAGAGGCGAAACGGTCGAAGAGCCAAACCTTGACGCGTCGTACCCCGTTATTCTCCTTGGGAAAGTAATTCAATGCGTCCCCGGTCGCAAGGGAGCACCGGGTGTCGGGAAAGTCAAAAGCACAATTTCGTTTCGGCTCGGTCGTAGCTCGAAGAATCCCCGTTACGGGGAAGAGCATTTGCCCCTCGTTTTCCGCATTTCTTCCCCTTTTTCCGACCCTCGGAAAGAACGTTCGAGCCGAGTGTCGGGAGACTCGTGTGCGATACAATGAAGTCTGCACCTCAACCCCTGAAATACCGCGAGAACAAAGGGTGGTTAAGTCCTTGTTGACAAAGATGCACCACACGGCATCGCGCACCGCAGACGATGCCATTGGCGCAACCCCGCGATGAATGAATCGTCCAACCGCTGCCTGCGAATGCAATCTCGAAACTGCTGGACTTTGGGAGATAAATCCGTTCCTCGATTATTAGAAATACTTTCTGAATATTTGTTTAAGCGACTTTGGCAATATCCCTCGTAAAGGGAAAGAGATGAGCGATCGTAATCGGGCGACTGCTTAAAACTTCTTGAGTGGTACAAAATCTAACCTCTGAAGTTACAGACACGAGCGATGCGCTCTTCTGCATGAAGGTAACGATAGATAAAGTAACGAGTAAACACAATGTACCGCTAAGACAAATTTAAACCAGGATTATTGAGAAGGTATGTCGAAAAGTTTGGAGAACTTTGAACCGTTTCCGCGGTTCTGAGTTCGTCCTCGTATCGTGTCGATGATCGATGGCCTCACGATTCCAACGTTAAATTGTTGGTCTTGTTAATTATATCGCCATGGAAATCGAAACCGTACCTTTCGTCATCGAGAAAGAGGGCAATATGAGCACTGCAAGAAGGCGGAGCGGTAGAACGAGAACAGTCAGGAAGAAACGGTAAGAGTTCTCGCGAAGAAGAGGTACCAAGGGACCGGATGGACGCAGAAACGAATCCGTCCGCGAGATCGTCCATAAAAGCGAACGATGGATTTGTCGATGCCGTACGAGGAAGACTTTAGTTACCGTGCTCTCCCGTTCTCTTGTTTCAGAACCTCTCTCTTTATCATTATGAGCTTCATCTACGCAAAGTTGCTGGTGGTCGTGTGCATCGCGTACGTCATAAGCGAGGTCGTCACCCACAAATTACCACTCTACTACTACGAGGGCTTCTTCACCTACTTGTACGGTGTCAGCATCTTCTTCCTCCTCTACGTCTTCTGCTTCCTCCTGCAGGAGAGCGCCTGCTGCTCCCGGGGGAGCGACACGCCGCCACCCCCGCCGAGGCCCCCAAAGCCACCCAAGGAGCCCAAGGACAAGAACAAGAAGAAGGACAGCAAAGACAAGGATCAGAAAACAGCCAAGAGCAAGAAGGAGCATTTTCAGGTTCGAACCGATTCGTGCTCGCAAGGCTTGACCTGTCGGTAAATATGAAACGTGCGTTCGCGGAATGCATCCTTGAGAAGGCGTTAAAGCGGACGGGGGGAGGCGGGAGTCGATATCGATGTTTCGACTGAATCGAGCCTCGTCGCTCTCCCGGTGATTATTTTTCTTGGTCAGAGTAGCGTAATAATACGGGTAACCGAGAGCACCGACGGAAACCGGCACGATAGAGAGAAACGATATCTCGTCGCTTATGCAATCGGCCGAGTTAGCCGATATCTTACGGCGGAGTCGGGCGCTAGATCGAGCTTGCAGGAGGGTCCAGATCGGAGGAAGCTAGAGGTTTTCAGTGGAACCTAGGAAAGCAGGGTTGGCACAGTTTGGCCCATTCCGGTTAACGTCAGCGGGTTTTTCCGATTCTTTCCGGTTTTTTTCAGAAAATAAAATACATTACATAAAACCCACTCGGCTTTAACCAGGGTTTTAACCGGTTAAAACCATCTTATAAAATCCATTAGTATGTTTGTAGCGTAGAATTTATTCTAATATTGTATGCACACTGTACCTACACATGCGATCCACTACGGTGTAAGTAGTATTCAAACATATTTTCGTTACTGCGCATACTCGGGATAAAGCAATGGAAAGAACCCGGTATAAATATGGTTTAACGATTTAGGCGGTAAAAAGCAGCAAATATGGTTTAAACCGATTAAAACCATTAGGCTAGGCTTTATGTAAGAAAAAAAACCCGGATTTATGCCAACCCTGTAGGAAAGAGAGAGAGAGAGAGAGAGAGAGAAAACGGCAGGGTCGCCTTCAAGGTATCTTCCTCGGATCACGTATGATTCGGAGGTCGTCCCAAATTGCCAATTTCGTGACGTTATCCAAGACGCCTTCTAAAAGTTTGTATCAACGAACTGCGATTCATTTTATCTATGCTGTTTGCTATGGAACGATTTGGAAAACCCGCTGCAATACACGGGATTGCAGGATGCGGCTGACGTGGAAGCTGGAGTGGCAACACGAGCATTGCGAAAACGCAAGACTTCTCAGAACGATCACAGCCACGGAAGCTTCTTTCTCAGAATCGGCGCAATCGGTGAGGCTAATTTTGAATCATACCTTTTCGCGGCGTAACCGTTAAAAGAGAACGGCTTTCAACGTCCGATCGATGTTCTAGCTTTTGGGTTGGGAACCATGGTTTATAATGGTTTGGAGTTTGGGGCTTTCTTCGAAGTACCGGCAACGTCCGCCTGCTACCAAATCCTTCAAGGTGTCAACCCAGTTCTTCAGATGATCTTCACTTTCATGCAAATGTACTTCATCTTCATGAATTCCAGGGTAAGCGTGTGTAAGGATCGGTGAAATTAAATTGCTGCAGTTTCGTGTACGTTCCGTTGACAACTCGTCGTTTCAGCTCAACATTCACCGATTCAAGGTAATTGCCCGATTCGGTCTGATGCACGTTGTGGCAACCAACCTCTGCGTCTGGATTCGCACTTTGGTATTGGAAAGTCTTAAAGAAATCACTCAATATCATAAACGCTTAGGACAGGAAGAAGTAGGTATACTCGGTAAGAATGTAGGATTACGTGGTAGACGAACCCTAAGTCCGAGGGGATTTTAACAATCGATTTTAAATCATGCGCCCTTTAAGCAGTGACAAGCTTCGTTCGCACTGACTCGGTTTTTGATACTTTCCAGAAAGTATAAAACAGTACACCATGCGGAACGCCGGTGCTATTTTGGGAACGGAAGCTCGCGATATGGCGCAACTCCGAGAGGCACCCTCTACCTCTTCGACCAGGCATACCCCTTCCGCGACCTTGTCGACCACCGGGGCGATCGCCTCTCTGGGTCGCATGATGAGGACCACGGCGAGGTCGGTGGTCAGAGCAGTCACGATCCCGCCGACAGATAGCACCACCACGACGACGACGACCACAACCACCACCACCACGACCACGTGGAGGCCACCGACCGCGGTTTCGCTTAAGACCACGACGCCTTTTCCGCCGACCCCGCCAACGACCGCATCCACGGCGCTCTCCACTTTGCTGACCACCTTGGCTCCGACGGTACGCACCACTACCAGAGCGTCGACGACGACGACGACTGTCGGCAGCGCCTCGTCGACCACATTCGGCTACTATCTCTTCGACGCGCCTCACGTCGACCAAAAGGAAGTGAACCAGATCTTCGACGTGAGCAACCTCACCAACGCCAGTAGCGTGTGGAGCCCGAACTTGGGTTTCTACGCCGAGGCCCTCACCGATGACGGCAACGTTTCTAACTCCTGCGGCAGGGTTAACATCATGGGGAGCATCGTCCAAGATGCGGCCCCCTACCTCTTTCCCTTCATTATCGAGTACAGTCTCATCGGAGCAGCTGTCATCTACGTCATGTGGAAGCACATCGGTCGTCACCCTCGGTGGCCTCACCAGGCAGAAGCCGACCTGGAGCGCAGGTTGGAGGCAATGTTGTCCAGACGAGCGGTTGCCCTGGCACACGCGGGCCACGCCAGGGTGGATTGCGTTGGGGCCAGTAAGGGTCTCTTCTTCGGGCTTCTTCTCTTGGTCGGCTCGTTGATTTGCCTTATCCTCTTTTTCGTTTTGATCCATCATCCCGAATTGGGACTGCTAGCCATTTATCTCGCGGATGTGTCACACTGTGTCCTCATGGCTCTCTCCATCGTGGCCATTATAGTTGGTTTTATTCGAGTCCAGAGTTTGAAGTTCAAAGCGGAAGAGCAAAGCGATCTCAACGACATCCTGTTGCGCGTGTCCGCGTTTGGCCTTTTCGTGTACGCTGTATTTAGCGTGATCGCCGGTTCTTTGGCTGCTTTTACGCACGAACCCAATCTACTCGTAATGGTGACCGGGTTGTTATCCGTGGCTCAGGTCGTTCTGCAGATGCTGTTCATCGCCGATGTCTCCCGCAGACGCGTTCATCTACCGGAACACGATCGCAGCAAGCCTGGTCGCCAGGTGGTCACTTTCTTGCTGATTTGTAACGTAACCATGTGGGTGATTTACACGTTCGAGACGCAGAAAGTCGTCGCGAATCCCGTGCAGCTCGATTTTTATGGGTTCCTCGCTTGGGCGATCGTGCAGAGGGTTACCTTGCCGCTGTGCATCTTCCATAGGTTCCATAGTGCCGTTACGCTCGCGGAAATATGGAAAACCAGCTACAAGGCGCGCCTGGAGTAAACCGCGTCATCGGCCCGATCGCAGCCGCGAACGGATTACAGTGGAGACCGGGAGGAGGGCATTCTAGAAGAACAAGGACCAGCTCGGAGACGTGGCCGAACGCCGAAGAGACGAGCCGACCCGGAGGGCGACGGAGGCGCCCGAGACGGACACTTCCTCCTTGGACTTCCTTGTCGGAGAAGGCTCGGACCGTCGTCGGCTTCGCCAAAGGACGCGCAGGTCTGGAACTGGCGCAAGCGTCGACGGTGGATCCCTCGAGGCGACTCGGATGACTTCGAGCATCTTAGATGAGAAGGCGCGACGTTGACCCAACGACAACGAACGAACAAACGCGGCTTCGCTGTGACGCGCGAGCAGTTGATTCGATTTCTTTTTTTATTAAATCCACCACGTGGACTGAAGTTTCTTCTTAAACGGAATCAAGATGAGCCCTGGACACGCTTCGGATACTCTTTGGCGGAACGAAGAAGGTTTTGGACTGGAGAGGCTACGACAAGAGAGGTCTCGACTCCCGTTGACGCGTATTTACTTTTACAGGTTTCCAGGTTAACTGGAAACGTGTCGCCACTGTCATCGCGTTTTCTACTTTTATACCTTCGTCGCATTTTACATCTGGAATAATATTAGTTCGTTAGAAGAAAGACTCGAGCCATCTCGTTAGCTGGTACGTCGGGCATATCTTTCGTTGGATCGCGCGACACGTGACACTCCAGTGAGCGAGCTAGACCATTCATTCACTGTGAGTTGGTCAGTTTTAGACGATGATCCGACAAACGGTTCTCGCACAAGGCAGTTCATTTTCAATTTAATACGGCATACATACAAACTGGCAGCTCAGGGAGTAGTAAAGTGTCACTTGAAATCGAAACGAAGGGCGACGAACTAACGAGTCTTCCGGATGTCCAACGTCCGAGAACAGCTTGTTTCTCGTGTTAACGCCTGCTATGAAATGCGGCCTCCGCCTGATCAGTCTCGCAGTCCGAGATCTTAGTGGTTGCCCACTCGAGGTACGAGAGATTTCCACCCGAAAGGACGCGAAGACGTAACTAAGTTTGGGGCCAACACAACGCATATGAATCCGGTTAAGGCGAAACGATGCCATGGTTTCGAGGAAAGTGCAACCAAAGGACTCTAAACGTTCGCTTTCGTCTTGCGCCTGCGTTCGTTGCGTGTTGTAAAGTATGGAATTCCTTCGAAACTTTCGAGATACTTTTTGATGCGACACTTTTATACGTGGCGTGGCATCGCGTCACTTTTTTGACGATTAGGTGACTTGTTTTACCCCGACTAAAAGGAATGAACGATGGCGCGTTTTTCAAGGGGGCTGATGTCAACTAGTGGGGGAAGCCGAAAAGATAGGCGAAAAAGAGAAATAACCGAAAAGAGAGGACGAAACCGCGTCGGGGACGAGAAAAGGAAGAGAAAGGAGGAATGCACGGAAAGAATCTGTTACAATAACTGCGACGAGTGTATAGAGATTAGAGAGTATTTTTTTTCTAGCGGCAAGTCGCATAAGAACGATCGCGAGAATGGAGTATTTACGACCCATGGTACGGGTTGAGTCATTAAGCGGGCATATTTGAATAGTAGTAGCGTAAAGCACCTGCAGGGGTAGCGAGGGGAGAACGCGTGAATGGGACGGATCTACGAGGCAGGACGTAGACATAGACCTTAGACGTAGACGTAGACGTAGACGTAGACGTAGACGTAGACGTAGACGTAGACGTAGACGTAGACGTAGACGTAGACGTAACTAGAGAAACCGAAACCGATAGGATTCATCGTTTATCAGAAATAAATGATATATTGATTAGGGTTTAAGATAATTCGATCATGGACTTGACGTTCAGATTGCGTAGGGTAGAGACCGTCGACGGAGCCTCCGTTCGTTGACGCGACGTCGGTTTTTATGTATCCGCGCTCCGTTATATCCCTCTTTCGTCTTCCTTTGGACACTTTACCCTTGTGTATCTTTGTCTAATAACGAGTCCGATTGCGAGTGCGGACGAGAATCGGCGCAACGTGCTCGTCTAGTCGGAAAGCTAGGAAGATAGGAGAAGCGCGGTTACTATCGACATTCTTTCTGTCGGAACGCGATCTTACACACACACCCACACACACACACGCGCGGAATGGCAAAGCGTTCGATACCGTGATCAACATACAGGTATGGTTTCAAAGTCTAATCGACGCGTGCCGTCATGTGTATATAACGATTGATTTTCGGCGAAGCGAATGCGGAAGGTAATACCTGCAAACCATTTCACTTGTTTCGACCAACGAGGTCGAGAGGGGTCCGTTAACGCAATCGGCACTAGCCGCATTATTGATCCTGGCTATCGCGCCTGTGCGTGCGCGAAGACATTTCCCCGATGCAGCTTCGACACGGTTAGTTCGTCAGAATTTTGTCGCCGTTTGCGAGCGTGCAAAAACTTTCCCTCTGGAGTATCCCGCGTGTAACAACGCTACCTGGCAGTCGCTCATCCCTAAGAGAGCATGCATTCGTTAGCGTTTTTCAACGCAATCGTAGCATTTGTGCGACGTCGCTGTACCATTTGACGCGCTTTTTCCTGGGAATTTTTACCAATTTCCCTCGACTTTAGCGGGCTGTTAAGGAACTCGAAACTTTATATAACGACGAGCTGTCGACGTATTGAGTCGTTCGCTATCTAATTTGCGCGATGTCATAGCGAATAACAGGGCACTGCCATACACCGGACCAATTTCCGATGCAACAAAAGAAACAGACGGAACTACTCGAGTACTGTAAAAGGCTGAGAGATGTAATTTTTTTTTCTGATATTCTCTAGTCCAAGTTTCATGCAAATTCATCGTTTCAGAGAGCATTCGGGTGAGGCTACAGTTCTCATAGATCTTTCTTTTTGTTAAGTCGAAAATGTCTACCCGTGACGTCGAGTGACAAGGGAATATCACGTTACACATGTTCAGACATTCTAGCGAACCTTGTTGGTTCCTGCAAAGGTACAAATTGTTAGTTCCACGTTCATACGTCATCTCGGAAGAATTTCACTTCTACTTTGTTCTTTTTATCTACGAGTGGAATACTATCAAATAATCGAACACGGTACGGATTTTGGTACGGGACAATTTATGGTATCGAAACGAGACACTTATATCAATGTCTTAACTCTGTTAATAGAATCTCAGTACTCAATAATATTGAAATTGCACTTAGTAGAACTCGTGCTCCAACTTACATGAATAGTGCCAAGTTCTTGCCCGTATACGTATGGAACTTTTGAAAAGCGTAAGTCTTCCAAAAAACAGGCTTTGCCAGAAGTCATGGAGACGCGTTTGTTGGCAGCTCATTGTCATTTGATGTCACGAGTACGTAGTACAAAATTAGAAAACGCAGAATGAAAAATTGGAGAAGGCTGAAAACTCACTTTTGACGTTTTGTAACTGTAAACATACACTGCACGAAGAGTAGCACTGTCGGGTGGAGGAAACGACGGACTCGTTTCGATCCCGTGGGCTCCGGATCCGTGGATCCGCATCTTCTCGGCGCGGGAGATTCATCCATGCGGATGAATGTTTGCGTTGTATTTCGTACGCGGAAAAAGACAATCGCGAAGCGGCGTCGTCGGAGCCTTCTTAGGTTGCTGATATTCGGATTCGCGTTTCCCGACAGATTCAAGTTCTTCAGTCTGAAGTTTTTGCGCGTTCGCGCAATACCTTTCCCCGACAGGTCTACTCCCGAATTAATATAATTAAACATTGACGTAGAAAGTTTTTGATGTCTTCGATTAACATTAAAGGTTTGTACACACATACGCGCACAAGTGACATATTCACGGTTATACAAAGACACAATTGAACGTTAAATGTAAAAGAATAAAATTAAGATACGTGTTGTCAAGTAATCCAGTGGTTAAAGACAAGTAGCTACGAAGATTTATTCTGAAGTACATAATTGCATTTCATACATTAAATTTATTGATTGTGTGGCATTAATCGTTTTTCGTACTTATATCCGTTGATGAACACGCGTGGCTATCGCATCACATCCTTTGTGACGATAACGACTATATTGACTAATAAAAGTTATCTAGATGTATTGTTGTTCATTTTCTAACCTACTTTTACGCCTTTTTATAACTACTGCGTGAGAGTAAGGACAGGGTTGAGTGGTAGGAACAGGGAAGGGCAGGCATAGGGCATGGTAGAGTGGTACGAACAGGGTAAGGATAGGTAAGGATTCGCCGGACAGGTGGCAAGCTATTACATGAAATTAGATTCATTCATATCCGTCGTTATTCTGTCCTAATTCATCATAACCCATTCTTAACCCATTGTAACCCATTCCTAACCTACCCTAATCCGTCCTTACCCAACCTAACCCACTGGTAATCCATCCTAACCTATTCTTAACTCATCCTAACTCTTCCCAATCCATCTTCAACCATCCTGTCATTTTAACCTATTGTAACCTAAATTAACTGATTCGCGCAATTTCTTTTTTTTAATAGAAAAATAAGAGATTTTTTGTTGAGGTCGATGAGGTCAGATTTTTTTTAAATTTTTGTATAGAACAATAAGGTCAAATTTTTAAAAGTTTTTACGCTCGGGAGCCTGGCGGTACCCAACCGTCAGCGGAGGAAACGGTAAAGGAACCATCGATTCCAAATGACGTCCGCTGCCGATTCCCCCGAGTCGCAACATCTGGTACCTGAACGGACAGGTTTACTTCAGGTAGGTGGCGTTCGCGACCGACGCGATGGATAGGGGACCGGATTCCGCGACGAAACTTCCTTTACCATTTTTTTCTACGACCCGTGGTTCCGGAGATACAGCGGAAATAAGAATGCTGCGCTCTGATTGGTCGGTTCTTTGGAGGGGCGTAACTCGAAAAGTACGCGGCGTAGGAGAAAACGGAAAAGGAAATTTCGCTTCCAAACGACGTCCGCCGTCGATCCCCCGGGTCTCAACTTCCGGTAC